GCAGATCAAATTGTGCCTCTGTGTGTAGTAGAGCAGAGCTGGGTGATGTCATGAAGAGGTGACAGCCTTGTTTAGGAGTAAGTTGTAATAAAACACTTGGAAAAGTCAGAGTCTGCCTCAACTCTGCTAGCAACACACAATGCTTCCAGTTTTCCACAATGCTTAGATGATAGATAGATAGATGATAGATAGATAGATAGATAGATAGATAGATAGATAGATGATAGATAGATAGTCCCAAGCAACCCAGAAGTTTTGTTTATCATATTTCATCATCAATCATATTGTGCAGACTGATGCAAAAGAGGACAAGGCTCCTGTATCTTTCGTTGTGTAGAAGAGACATTTTCTTTTCTGCACAATAATTAAATGTGCAATAGCCTTTTCTTCTTTTGCATCTTGGCACTATAGTAGGCACCAGAACTTTGTTTTGCTTCTTGTTGTTGTTGTTTAGTCGTTTAGTCGTGTCCGACTCTTCGTGACCCCATGGACCAGAGCATGCCAGGCACTCCTGTCTTCCACTGCCTCCCACACTTTGGTCAAACTCATGCTGGTAGCTTCGAGAACACTGTCCAACCATCTCGTCCTCTGTCGTCCCCTTCTCCTTGTGCCCTCCATCTTTCCCAACATCAGGGTCTTTTCCAGGGAGTCTTCTCTTCTCATGAGGTAGCCAAAGTATTGGAGTCTCAGCTTCACGATCTGTCCTTCCAGTGAGCACTCAGGGCTGATTTCCTTAAGAATGGAGAGGTTTGATCTCTTCGTTTTGCTTCTTAGCTAAATCCTTTTAGGTACCACGTCGGCTAAAAGAAAGCGTATCTCCCAACATCATTTCAAATGAGCTACAGCGAATAACATGGTCTCAAATGTTGCATTTGAAATCTGCCAAAAAGTTTATTTGTTTGCTTACAACATAAACTGTTCCTCATGATGGTAATTTCCAAGTCAGAGGCAGAAATGCAAGCAAAGCTGATGGGAAGGTATAGCAAATGGCCAGCCTTATGCTTGCAGAAGGCACATTTCTGGTATATACTTAACAGCTTCCGAAGGAGCATTCAGTTTTGCTCTGGCTCCCTCTCTCTAGAGAATCAGACTGCAAGCAACAGCAATGTATAATTAAAGGATGGGAACTTAAGTGAATGGTAGTCAATTGTGGTTACATAATGAGATGCTCTTGTGTCACATGACATCACAATGAAACAAATGCTCTTGAAGTCTTAAGAGTACGTGCGAGGCCTCTGGGGAGACATTGATTTCTCTCTTTACCATTGCAGTATGTACACACTAGTAAGCCAGCCGTTTGAGGATGAATATGTTAACTGAGCACCAAGAAGAGTGGAAAGTAAAGGTGACACCGAGAGTTGGTGATTGATTATGTTCAGCATGCAGAGGGCTGTAAAACTGCAGTTGGATACTCCAGGTTTGGGGGAGCGCTTGGTCATGATGACAATGATAGAATTCGTTACCTGCCTTGAGAAAGTCTCAGGGCAGGTAAAACTGATCTAAAATCCAACATAAAAAAGTGCTGAAACAGACCGCAGTCACAGGACTGGGGTGTCCTGAGGGGGACCACTTTTTCCTCACTTCTGCTGCACGGATACTGTCCTTTCTCTCCCGGGCCCAATCCAAAGAGCTGCCCAAAGGGAGAAGGCAATTTCTTGGGTGTTTCCAAGCCTGATTCAAAGCGCTGGTACTGACCTCTAAAGCCATTAGTGGTTTGGGTTCATGTTATTATCTAAAGGGAAGCTACACCAGCAACCTTTTGGCCCCAGTGGCCAAAGTCATGTGCACGGCGCAGAATGGCTATTTTAGGGTTGCAGTGGCGGACTTGGGGTTCTCTAAATTTCAGCAGTGTCTTGTGCAGCACTAAAATTCATTGTCTCCTGCTTCTTGCACTCCATTCTACAGCATTGTTGCGGCACCCAGCGCAGCTGCACAAGTCACGCTACACTAAAACCGCCTCTGGTGGTTGTCGTATGTTAAAGAGCAGAAAAGAATGTATTTAGATGGCATGCATATCTGTGGTATGACAAGGTCAAAGCGCATAAAGCATTTAAAAACCATATTGTCAGGAAAGCACTGTTTAATGTTTGGATAAGATACAAGGATTTATTGGAAAATAAAACTCCAAGGTGGCTGTCACCGATGGAAGCGAAAGCCTTGAAAAAGCTCAATATGGAGGTCAAATGGCCAAAATATTGGGAAATTTTGGAACAAGATGGAGACAGATTGAAATTGCAGAGTTTTGAAAAACTAAAAAACAAAGTGCGAGACTGGCTTCATTATTATCAGATAATGGAGGCATACAATTTGGATAAGAAAATTGGCTTCCAGGTGGAAAAATCAAAATTAGAAACAGAACTGTTAGAACCCAAAACTAAGAATTTGTCAAGAATGTATAACTTGCTGTTGAAATGGAATACTCAGGATGAAACGGTGAAATCTGCTATGATTAAATGGGCACAAGATGTTGGACATAACATCATGTTCGCTGACTGGGAACAGTTATGGACCACAGGTATGAAGTTTACGGCATGTAATGCCCTAAGAGAGAATATTATGAAAATGATATACAGGTGGTACATAACCCCAGTCAAGCTTGCAAAAATCTACCATTTGCCTGATAATAAATGTTGGAAATCTGAAGGTACATTTTTTCACCTTTGGTGGACGTGCCCAAAGATTAAGGCTTTCTGGGAGATGATATATAATGAATTAAAAAAGGTATTTAAATATACCTTCTTGAAGAAACCAGAGGCCTTTCTCCTGGGCATAGTCGGCCAATTGGTGTTAAAAAAAGGATAGAACTTTTTTTATGTATGCTACAACAGCAGCAAGAATACTTATCGCAAAGTATTGGAAGACACAAGAGCTACCCACACTGGAGGAATGGCAGATGAAAATGATGGACTACATGGAATTGGCGGAAATGACTGGCAGAATCCGTGACCAGGGAGAAGAGTCGGTGGAAGAAGATTGGAAGAAATTTAAAGATTATTTACAGAAATATTGCAAAATTAATGAATGTTAGAGTGATGTTGGATTGAAGCTAAGTGGCTTCTAGCTGTACAGGTTTTAAAGCTATAAATATATCAAGATTAAGGATTAGGATTAAAAGGTTAAAAGAACGGAAAAATTGGTTCTTAATAGGTAAAAACTTAATGTTATAATATATTAGGATTAAGGATTGGGACTAAAAAGGAGGGAAAGAAATTGCTGGACTAACAAACTGAATTGGAATACAAAAGAGGGAGGTATGAGGAGGTCCGGGAAACAAGTAAATGTAAAAGAAGTTATGAAAAGACAGAATTGTTTTTAATTGTTTTTTCTTTTTCCTTTTTGTATTGTGTATTTTCCTTTTATTCTTAAATTTTCCTTTTTTATTAATGTGATTCCTTTTCTGTGAAATTTTAATAAATATTATTTTTTTAAAAATAATAATAATAAAGAGCAGAAAAGGAGAAAGGACCACCAAATGGTGGTCATGCTCCCACTCAGCCCCCTCCTCATCAATGGAGAAGAAAAGGCACCTATACCAGTCACTGCTGCCTTACTGCACCTCTTCCCTACTCCAAACGGAATGGAGTGTGGGTGTCTAATTCCGGCATCCAATGAAATGTGAGCAAGTTTAAGAGTGTGTGTTCCGTGGAGGAAAGGCCAAGTCAGTGCAAACTGGAAGTGAGCAGGAACAGGAGTCTCTTGTGCACTGGATTTCTGAGGGTTGTTTTTTGTTTTTGTTTACTAAGACCTTGGCAACCCCTGGACTACACCCATTTGAACATGTCTGCAGTATGAAATTGTCTGAGCACTGAACCAGTACGGGTGGTTAAATGCACAAGAGACAGGAACTTTTGGGTAGTGGCCCCAGCTTGATGAAACTCCCTCGCAACAAGAGCAGTAGCAGACAGTGTGTTGGGGAGGTGGTGCTCCCCTGACCTCGCAGTTCAGCCACTGCTGCTTACAGGGAAGGAGAAGGACAGGGGGGGAGGCTGCTGCCATTCATCATTTATTAAATTTACTACATGCTGCCCTTCATCCGAGGATCACTGGGTGGTTTACGGTATAAAAATGCAAATATACATAACACAGTTTAAAAGGCCATAATCAGTTAAAGGCCTGTGAAATATACTCAGAGTGGAGAGTGGATTTCATGCTCTTTATTCAGCTCATAGTGGTGAGGAGGAATGGAAGTTCCCCCAGAATGTCTGCTTTATATAAATTATTTACACAATGGGCCCCACGTGATTGGCTAATTCTGGGATTCTCCTATAGGCCAATCAGGTTACGGATTCACTTCCACCTGGAGCTGGATTGGGTGGCTCCTGTGGACCAATCAGACTGCTGCATTTTGGATCCTATTCAACTCAGTACATAACAGCCTGGTTGAAGAGGAATATGTTCGCCTGGTGCCCAAAGAGATGTAGTGAAGGCACCAGGTGAGTCTTCCCAGAGAGAGCATCCCACAAATGGGGAGCCACTGCAGAAAAGGCCCTTCTCGTGCTGCCTCCCTCCGGTGTGGTGCAAGCACAGCGACAGCAGCACAGAAGGGCTCCGCTGGTGTGTTCACACTGCACCAACCTCCCTGCCGCCTGGCCACCTTTTCTCCTGGCAGACAGCAGTGTCTCAGCTGTTGGGGGTGAGGTCAGGCGAGTGCTGCTTCCCCACAATGCTGTCCACTCCTGCCCAAGAGCTGCAATTGGCTCCCTCTCCGTTTCCTTTCAAGAAGGCCCGGAAGATGTTTTTCTTTCAGGCTGCTTTAATTAGGAGTGGATTGTTCTTTTTCTTTTTAAACATGCGTTGCTTTCCAAAGGCTGCGAGTTAGGATTTTATAATGGGGTTGCTCAGCTGAGAGCAGATGGCTGTGCTGCTCCTTCTGTTTAATCATATGAATTGCAAATGTTGGTGTTTGTTTTTAAAAGTTCTCCTTTTATATTTGTAGGCCACTTTGGGGAAATATTTATATTTGGAAAGGCCGCGAGGGGGTGTCTTAAATAAATAAAATAAACAGACTTCAGGATGAGTGGATGCTACTGCTTTCCCTCTTCATTCTTGCTGGTACTCCCTTCCTTTGAGGGGGCAGGTGGACAGGCAGCGACAGCAAGACGGAGAGCAGCTTATGCTAACACCTGCCTTTTCACGTGCATTTTACTCTCGTGCTGGGAATCTGCACTGCAAAATTCAGAGGACTACAATTTTCAAAGGAGGATTGCGTTTCGGTTCTCAGATTGTTTTGGAAATTGAGAATTAGGTGAGTTTGCTTTTAACTGTGCACCAAATTGAATTTCTCCCCCACCTGCAGTAGCAAGTGTGTTTTTCATTATTCTTCCTCTGGCTGGAGGAGCACCATCGTTTCCTCTGAGGTGGATGGATTGATGGGAGCTGCTCAGCATCTTCCGCCTGCCATTCCTCCTTGAGATTGGCAGCAGCACGACACACAGAGCTGCCACTCTTGAAATTATGTCCCTTTCCACTGGAGAACTCCTGATATATTTTATGACTGCTTCTGCTGAGTTAGGGTCTGAGCCTTTCCCAACACCTGACCAGAAAAGAAGTGAGCCTACTCTGTTTTCTGACTGCCGGCCCAAAGAACAGAACGGAAAGTTGCTAACATTTCAGGTTGCTTGCCAGAATTATAGGAGAGACCACAGCTCAGTGGCAGAGTGCATGTTTTGCATGCAGAAAATGTCAGGTTCGGTCTCTAGCTTATCCAGTTAAAAGGATATTCGGGAGCAAAAGAGCTCTCTCAGCCTCACACCTTGGAGAGATGCTGCCAGTCTGAGTAGGCGAGGCAAAATATGGCACTCTAGATGTTTTCTTGCACTAGTTGGCATCTGTTTGTCTCAAGAGACAATGGAGTGCACCTCCCGGGGGGGGGGGGTGAAATCAAACCTCTGTGTTAGCAGCACCAAAGTGACCTTCCCAGGGCAAAAGTCTGGGCAAGGTGTATGGAGGTCCTGGGCTGCCCAGACAACACAACCCCCCTCTTGGCCTTGCTGATGTGGTCTGAAAGAAAACAGAGCAAGTACATTTGGCACCAGCTTGGCTGCAGGAGTTGCTGGGAGGAGGTGTACAGGGCACCACCCAACTGCCTTAAGGATTTGTGTGTGGTTTACTCCTTAGCCTTTCTTTCTTTTGAATATATCCCGCAAGGCAGTGGATGTTTAGGATCAGAGATTTCCTTCTCCTAGATGGGTTACATCCCCAGGTTGATGAGCCCCATCTTCCCCTCACTTCCCTCTACAGTATAGGCAGAAACCACCTTCTTGACCTTTGGGCCCACTATTGGTCTTGTCCGCTCAGTCCACCAGAGCTTGTCCCTAGATCATTGAGGGTTTGAGACCCACTGACTACCCTCACTTCATTTAAATGGCCAGTCGAAGCTGTTCCTGGGGTGTGGCTGCTGTTACATGCTGACAGCTTCCAGGAGCCACAGGTGAGAGGTGACAATGGGGTGGAGACCAAAAGTGGACAAACTACCCCAGAAGGAGGACAACGTGTCCTCCATCTGCCCACCCCCTAAATCCCCATATACCCCCTATGACCCATGGGCCACAGTTCAGAGAAAGTGTGTCCACTTTGCTTGCAGAATGTCCTGGGCTCAGTCCGTGGAACTTCCAGGTAGGGCTGGGAGAGTCCCTTGTTTGAAACTGTGGAATGACGCTGCCAGTCCTTGTGGAAAGTGTGGGGTGGGTAGACCAGTGGTCTGAGGTAATTTTTCTATATTCCTGTGCTTCCAGCTGCTGGAAGATGGGGGGAAGTGAATTGTACATAAACCACTTCAAGATCTTGGGACACCAAAGTGGTCTATAAATGGAAATAAGAACGATAGCTGTGAAGGCTGCTATCCATTCTCATTCATTCTCCCTGAGGAGAAGCTCAGTCCCCTCTATCTACCACCACCATCCATGAAGTACGTAACAATAAACACCTTAGACTGTTTGATGCATGTTTTCCCTCCTTAAGGTTTTCAACAAAGACAAATAAGCAAATTATTCATCTTGCTTCCTCCATCCTATATACCTCACGATGCACTCTGCTTTGCAAAGCTCAGCATTCCTCTCAGAGCCTAATTTCAATTTAATGCAAATGAAGAGGCACCTAACGGTTCAGCAGAATTAATTAGGCTCCGGTTATTGGCAGAGCCATCAGCTGGGGCCTCGCTGGGCAGATGCGCTTTGTCACAAATGTTGTCTCCAACCCACTCAGCTGGGCTTCTGAGCACAGCAGACAACACCTAATGGGAGTAGACAGTTTTAATTTATAACACTGGCCATTTTAAATGGCAGTTCTCCCATTCCCTGCCCAAGGCAACAGATCTATATAGGTCATAGAGGTGCCAAAATTGTATGGAATTTTACACACAAACACACCTAAATCCTGCATAATGTCCTACTCTTTTTATACGATTTCAGCAGCTAATGAGACTTTGCTGTTTATTATAGTCATCTGCTAGCTGTCCAAAGATGCGGACATTTACCATCACTGAGGACAATAGCAGACCATACTGTAAATATTGCTATTCTAAACCCATTTTCCTAGGAGAAATCCCCATCGAAAACTCACATCTCAGTAGACATAGTTAGGATTGCGGCCTAATGCCCAAAGAGCATGATGCTTAACTTGCAAAGATCTGTACTGTCAAAGGGGAACATGGTGGGGTATAGAATAGAAAAGACAAAAGGATGCAGTTCTTCAAACACCGCATCTATAGAATTTGTTACCAGAGGATGTAATAAAGGCTACCTTTTCTGATGGCTTTGAAAGGGGATTAGACAAATTCATGGAGGGTAAGGCTATCCATAGGAACACGAGTGGCGCTGTGGGTTAAACCACAAAGCCTAGGCCTTGCCGATCAGAAGGTCGGTGGTTCGAATCGGTGGTGAGCTCCCATTGCTTGGTCCCTGCTCCTGCCAACCTAGCAGTTTGAAAGCACATCAAAGTGCAAGTAGATAAATAGGTACTGCTCCGGCGGGAAGGTAAACGGCATTTCCGTGCTCTGCTCTGGTTCGCCAGAAGCGGCTTAGTCATGCTGGCCACATGACCCGGAAGCTGTACGCCGGCTCCCTCGGCCAATAAAGCGAGATGAGCGCCGCAACCCCAGAGTCGTCCGCGACTGGACCTAATGATCAGGGGTCCCTTTACCTTTACCTAAGGCTATCAGTGGCTGCTGTTGTTGGCTTCCATCTGTCTCGAGAGACAATGGAGTGCACCTCCAGGGGTGAAGTCAAACCACTGTGTTAGCAGTACCAATGTTAGCTCCATGGGGTGCAAGCCTGGGCAGTGTTCATGAGGATCCTCATCCTGATGGATCATGTTCTACCTGAGAATTAAGGAGACAGTCTGCCTGCCCCCCCAAGTGTATGACTGCAATAAAGAATAATATGAGAAGCCAGGATTTTTGATTGCTCACATTCAAGATCCCAGGAAAAATATTTCCTCACTTCCTCGTTTTAATGGGTGATGCTGAGAAATGTTTGGCTCAATGCTTACCAATTAAAAACGGGTACCTGAACATATAATAATATTAAGGGTTGGGGAGGGATATTGCAATTATATTATGGTTTGAAACTGTTAGTCGCTCTGGGTGTTCTAATAAGTTTAATAAACAAAATGTTTTTTTTCCCTTTAAAATGACAGATAATCAATTTATAAAATCTTCACCAGATATACAGCCCTGGTTTTTGAATAGACAATGAATCACCCATGGCATCAGTGCTCTTCAGGATGTTTGCTAGCTAGGGGGTACCTTTCATTTATAGAGGCGGGATTGGGTACCACTTTTATCTGTTCTTCAGCTCTCTATTGATGGATGTTCCCATCACACAGGAGTCTTGCATTCTAATTTATTCTCAAGGAGTCAGCCATAGCACAGAAGGAATTTAGCACACTCACATCTGCAGCAATAGTCAGAAGATTATACAACGTCTTCAGTGCTCTTCCTCCTTTATGGAGCTTTGTTCCAAACCACAAATACATGGCAGAAACTCAATATTGCCAAGAACGCAATTTCAGATTTTTCCAGGTCTCCAATCATCCTGCCTCCATTCCATATGGGGAAGGGGAAACTGGCAACCCAAACAGGGTTCAGGGCCAGCCATTAGATAAGTTGAGGTGGATGTCTCCAACGGGAGATGCTGGGAGCAGCAGAGTGTTGGAGTGTTGTTTGTGACAAGTGGCTGACTCCTCATACCCCTAAGCTTCCTGTGGGTGCAATGGAGAATCCTGTCCCCTCGCCACTGTTGAAGTGAGATTCAATAGCCGGTCGGGTCAGCTTTTGTACATGTGATTGTGCATGTGGGGGTACAATCTAGTCCTTTGCCTCAGGCAGCTCAGTGTCATGGTCCTCACCGAACCACTTTGTATACTTATAAAATATCTTATTGCTCCCCAGGATTCAAGCTAGAAACACATGTGCAGAAGCAGAGTTGAGCCCATTTTAAAAGGTATTCACATTTATCTTAACAATCAATGTAATACAGGAACTTTTGTAAGAGTACACACCAGAAGTGCACAGTATTTATTATATATGAATTGGAAAAACTTGCAAATACCAGGTAGGCCTAGCATTTAAATAGATGATGTTTAGAGAATAATATGTTTAAAGTTAAAATGGAAAGAAAGAAAGATGTTAAGTGACTAAGTTAATATTGCAAGAAAAATTGGTTTTGGAAAATGTTACAATGATATACACTGAAATTCAGCTAGGGGGATTCAAAGAAGTCACCTAACAATGTTACTAAGATTGGATTAAGTTCAGTTATGATTTATGTTTGTTTGTTTGTTAAAATTTTTGGAAAATCAATAAAAAATTTTGGGGGGGAAATTATTATATATGAACTCTCTCTCTCTCTCTCTCTCTCTCTCTCACACACACACACACACTCTTTATATAACCCTTCAATAATATTCCCAGGGCAGTTTACAAAAAGAATACAACAATTAAAGTGCAAATAAAAAAATAAATAAGCTGAAAACCCACAAAATCATAAAAACCGCATGAGAAATAGTATGGGTAAAATATACAGCATTCAAGGGTAAATATGGAAACCATGGAAGGGGAGGACAGGAAGTCAATTGATAAAGTAACTTATGGTTTATGTTAAAATTTGTAAAGTTTTTTCCTCCCTTTGTGAAAAAATAATAAATAAGATAAAAAAAACCATGAGAAAATCAGCAGGATTAAAAGCACATCTGGAAAACTGAGCAAAACAAAAAGCTCTTTTCCCTAGCACAAAAAGAAGAATACAAGAGCTGCCAAGCACCTCTCTTTGCAAGAATATCTCATGGTTGGAAAATTCCTTAAGTCCCCATATTTATTTGACCTTTATTCTTTTAACATCAATACAGTAATAATATGGCACCATTATTATTATTATTATTATTATTATTATTATTATTATTATATTTTGCAACCACTAGCCAGAAGGACTCGTTCATATGCTCTGGATGGCACCATAAAGGCGAGACATAACTCCCCCTTATTCCATAAATCCGCCTTCCCCAACTACAGTAGGTGCCCTCCAGATGTTGTGAACTACAACTCCCATTAGCCCCAGCACATGGTTGAGGAAGGAAACATTAAAGAAACAGCACAAGGCGGCAGAGAGAGAAAAGGAAACTGCAACAATTAAAAAAACACTTGACAGAATGTGCCCAGTCACAAGATAAATATTATCAGGCCCCTCATAATTTACAAATATTTAACAACCAAGTTTTAAAATTCAGATTGTTTCCACAGGTAGGCCTGATCTCTGCACAATATGAAGTCAAAACAAAACACCTCACTGAGCATGTGCAAATCAAAATACCACAGCCCTCTTCACTTCAAGGGCTATACATCACAGTTATATTTGCATGTGCCTCCTCTTTAAATTCTGGTCTATATCTGCTAAACTTCTATGTGCTTTGATTTTAAGCTGTGATTGTCAAGTACATCCTTGGGGTGGGGGGATGTGTCACTTTAAACTATTTAGATCAGTACAAATAAGTCATGTGCAAAGTGAAGAGCTGGGCTATGGCACAATTAACATTCTTTTGGCTCCTTGCCATTTAATTATGCATCCTCTACTTTGATCACCTTGTTCAATGTGAAGGTTTTTATGATGCATTAAACTCCTTTATATTTGGAGTGCCATTCGAGCCATTCTGCATACTGCTAAGGAAATGATATATACGGATGACCTGAGACTTGCGGGCAGAGGTTTCTAAGATATGAACGATAAACTTGGGCAGACGGAAACCTCTTTTTAGCAATAATGGATTAAGTACCCGTAAGTGAAAGCCTGAAATGTCAAGATTTAGTATGGATAAATTGTTAACAGCTGTCTTTGTTGTAAAGTTAAGGGAACTGGAAGAAATGGATGGTGAAAGTCAAATTCAAAGCAGAAAAAGGTATTTTGTGCCGAAACATGCTTTGTGGCAATGGGTTGCAGCCAATGTAGCACTGCATAAACATGCCATAAGAGCAAGGATTTCTGCTTCTGCAAATGGGATCCCCATAACAGAGGGTCCTGGTTGCACGCGGGACCCAAGAGCTCACCTGACAGGGTTAAAATGGGGGAGGGGGGAGGAGCAAGAAGTCCTGGCCATCCCCCTGGGATCACGCCAGGCGATTTTAGCCAATAGCCAGTGGGTGGCGTGATCCCAGGGGCTTTAAAAATGGCAGTGTGACACAAGGAGGGGCACTTGCTTCACACTGTTGAACACCCAGCCACCCTCCCTAGTTTAGGTGGAGTGGCTTGGCCTTGCTTTGGTTTGGGTTGCCTGTTTTGGAACTGGGGCTGGGTAGGAATTTTTCCATTTGGCAGATTGGCTTTAGCCACTTGGTTTTTGCCTACCCCTTAGCAAATCGTCACAACTTGTAAGGTGGCAGTTAGGCTTTGGCTCAGTTGGATTGTGGGGAGGGGAGGTGCGGCCATCACCTGCCCCTCTAGGAACTGGGTATTCCGGTAAAGGAATCTGGGGGTCCTGGATCTCGTCCAAAGCCCGCTTGAGGGGCTAGGGCCATGCCAGGACCACAGGAACCCCGGGGTGAGCTTCGGTTGGTCCTCATCGACCTTGCTCCCTCGTTTGGTTTACCCCATTGGACGATCACCCTGAGAGGTGGAGTCAGTTATAGTGGTAAGTCAATGCCTAAGCCAATACCAATACTACTCATGTGATTGAATTTCAATAAAGTTGTGGCCAAAATTTGCCCAAAAAACTTATACTAATATAAGTGTCCGTGTGTATTTATTTTGGGGGTGGGTCTTGGGGCCTCGAGACGCAATCAAATGTTCTCTCCTCTTGTCCCACTCTGTCCCCCTAAATCTATTCTAGGGGTTCTCTCAACCCTCTAGAGGAGATTTGGGGAGGGCATAGCATGCGGCAGGAGGGGAGGAAGGAAAGTTGTGCAAGCAGAAATCCTTGTGCTGATGGGATATGCTATTTAAATACGGTCCTATGTATTTATTTCTTGCACATCTAACTAGGGATAGGCAAATCTATCAGTTTTGGTTTCTCTCTTCTTTTTCTTTTTCTTTTTGTCTTTGGCTGTCCATATTTCCACATCAGTTTGTGCAAATTTCCCCTAATATACACATTTTTTACAAAAGCAGTTTCTCCCAGTATAATGTACTTTTGTAGGGTATTTTTGTTGGTTGCAGAAAAAAAATAACAAAGAAAGGAGAATTCCCTGGATGCTTAGATCCAAGTTTGGGATAAGTACTCTTTGGAGAGAGAATCTAAGCAGAGATTTAAAATCACAAATATGCAGCAAAGTAAGGAATGGAAATATAGGCTGTCAGACCTTTAAAATATGCCCTTTCAACGGAGTTCCAATACAGCCCCCTCTTCCCTCAGTATATGAAAAACCACAGATGTAATAAGTTAAAAATGATTTACTTACAAACTCTCCAAATACCAGGTTCATGTGCTTTTCCATACATCAGTCAGAAAGGTTGCACATTCGTAAAACTTTGTTTAGTTCCAAAGTGGTGAAAGTTCCTCAGTTATTGGTAGAGGAACTCCAGCCGGGCTGGAGCAACCAGCAAATCAGCAAAGTGCTGAATTTCAAAGGATGGTGTGTTTTAGAAAGTCAAGATTTAGAGAGTATGCTTTTAAGTGTGGACTTAAATTCCGCCCCCATCCATCTAACCCACCCTTCATTCACATGAATCCCTGGGTAGTTTACAAAACAAATCAATGAAGTAATATAGGAACGATAAATAAAACAAGAATTTAGAACTGTGGAAGAATACACAACTTCAATAAACAGCATAGTTTAAATTTGACTTTCAAGGCCTTGTTGTTGTTTAGTCACTTAGTTGTGTCTGACTCTTCATGACCCCATGGACCAGAGCACGCCAGGCCCTCCTGTCTTCCACTGCCTCCCGCAGTTTGGTCAAACTCATGTTCGTAGCTTCGAGAACACTGTCCAACCATCTCGTCCTCTGTCATCCCCTTCTCCTTGTGCTCTCAATCTTGCCCAACATCAGGGCCTTTTCCAGGGAGTCTTCTCTTCTCATGAGGTGGCCAAAGTATTGGAGCCTCAGCTTCAGGATCTGTCCTTCCAGTGAGCACTCAGGGCTGATTTCCTTCAGAATGGAGAGGTTTGATCTTCTTGCAGCCCATGGGACTCTCAAGAGTCTACTCCAGCACCGTAATTCAAAAGCATCAATTCTTCAGCCTAGTTCAGCTATTTATTCAAGGCCTAGTTCAGCTATTTATTGGGTCCCACTGGGCTCTAATGCTGACCTGCCAAAACTAGTGAGCTTGAACCCTGGACTTTGGACACAGACTGCATTCTACGCCCCACCCAGCTGCCATGTGTTTTGATTCCAAGAGTTGGAGCCTTCTGCTTTTTGTCATTTTTGTTAATGCAGATGCCAGCAGGTCAGCCTTGTAGTTTTGCAAGTTGTTTTTTTTTAATTCCTTGGTCTCCATTCCGGAGGTATATTCAAACATGCTATAAGCTTTTACTGATGCCCTACTTCTTGAAGCACTTAGGTGCACAAACAGTGATGTTTGGATGCTGCTTCTCTCTATATATAAATCTGCCCTGGCTTGCAATCAACCCTTTCATTAAAAAAATTCTGCAGACAGCAAAAAAATAAGAATAACAGTATTCCTTATCTGGAGATGCCAAACATTCTAGTGATGTAACCATTTTAATCAAATTAATTCTTCCTGTTGAGCAAGCTGCATCTCTTGCCAGGGCCTTAAATTTATGTGCAATTTCCTTTAATGGTGGCTTATAATTATTTCGAACACCGCCAATCAATTCATTGTGCTATAATCTGAATTATTAAATAATGGGGGGAATCTTTAGAAGTGCTTAAGAAAAGAAGGCACAGCAAAGCAACTTTTGAACAGCGTGTTAGCAGGCATAATCTGAAATGCTCTGTTTTAATCCACTCCTGGAACTGCATGTTATCAAAATCCTATCTGCGCTAATGCAGATGGCTCTGCCTCACGGGGCAGTTCGCATGGGTGAAATTAGAGGTGATCAACATCAGCGGGATGGCTAATTAAAAATGTGAAGGCTGCAACCGCTACAGACTTAGGCAGGAATAAGTTTCACTGAACCCAGTGAAACTTCTGAAAAGATATGCATATCAGCTCACACTGTGGACCAACTTGGAAACTCTTTGTTTTGATCACTTGGCCAGACACATCGCTGTACAGTGGTACCTCGGGTTACAGACGCTTCAGGTTACAGACTCTCCTAACCCAGAAATAGTACATCGGGTTAAGAACTTTGCTTCAGGATGAGAACAGAAATCACATGGTGGCAGTGGGAGGCCCCATTAGCTAAAGTGGTACCTCAGGTTAAGAATAGTTTCAGGTTAAGAACGGACCTCCAGAACGAATTACGTAAGTTTTTAACCTGAGGTACCACTGTACATGCCAATGGCTTGTCCTTTTTCTGGCACCTGTGTCTGGTACACCACTACCTATTTTGTCTCTTTGGGGTGCCATGTTAAAACCTTCTTGGTATCACAGAACCATAGAGTTGTAGAGTTGGAAGGGACCCCGAGGGGCATCTAGTCCAACCTTCTGCAACGCAGGCATCTCAACTAAAGCATCCATGACAGAATTGCTTGAGTTTTCTTCTGGGTTCAGCAGAGGCGCTTAGAAGTTAAGTATTCAAGACTCATAAAGTTGGAAGGGACTTTAAAAGTAATATAGTCCACACACACCCCAAGCAGACACTGATGTAGATGTCTTGAAGTAGGAACCGCAACAAAGGAAAGGAGGATTTATTGGTTGTGTTGCTGCTTCAGCAGAGGATGTCGTGCTCTCTGCTCTGGAAAACGTCTGCTGTGTTTCCTTTCCGCTGCATTACTGGCTAGCAATGACCTTCCTGCTAGAGCTGTTGGATTGTGGAGGAACTGGAAAGGTATAACACTCATGGCTGGCTGGGTGAATGGGAGTGAGAAGGTCAGAGTCTGCGTATTTCCTGTTCACAGGATGTTTATGTTTTCTGTTGCTTTCGTTTTCTCTCTGGTGTCGCAGACACTAAAGCAGTCAGTCATGTTTTTCTGTGTTCTGATCAACGCTGAATAAACTTGTAAATAATGCTCTCCTGAGTGCAACTTTTGGCTGTGACTATCTGCTGATAGAGTGTGCATGAGCTCTGGAATGTGGCAAGAAATCTTCTAGAAACTCATGTCGCTAATTGATGATACTGCGTGCCTACGGGAGGTCGATGGATCGTCCGGCAGACGGCTTGGGGCCATGATGGACTTTATCTCCCTGGCAGTATCCCAACAACAGGTTTCGGGCCCAGATTCACAGCACTTACAGGAGAGTAAGACTGCGACAGACTGCTGAAAGGTATGTGGAGGAAAAGCGAAAGTAAGGCTTTTCTGTTTGCCGCGGCAAGAGCTTTGATGTCCGGCTGGCAGATTAATGGATCTGGGAGCCGCGCCAAAGGCCTCAAGATTTATGAGCTGCCGAGATAAGACGTCTCTGAAGTGAATAAGATTCACGGCTCAAGTAGAAACCTGGAATGGAGTTTTTCCAGGCTTCTGAGGCTGCTGAGTGCCCAAAGTTAAATCGGCACAATTATGGGACCTGGGCTGTGTGGTGTGAGAGCTTGCTGCGTCAGTTTGGAGTGTGGCATACTGTGTGTGAGGCCCCTCCAGTTCCTCTGACAGAAAGATGGGAGTCCGAAAATTTGAGGGCGATAGACATAATCGTCTTGTCCGTCTCTCTGGAGGAAATAAAAACGCTAGCTGGCAATCTGACTGCACGTAACATGTGGCATGCTTTGAAGATTGCCCATTTGCCAGTCATCCCAGCCCAGAGTTTAACTGCATCGGAGGTCCTGGCTGTTTCCCAGAATGCGAGTGAATGCAGGGATGCTGAGGGCACCGGTTGCAAGCTGCAGGGGAGCTGACTGTCACGTCATCCCAGGCAGCATTCCAGCCTCCAGGGGAGCCAAGGAGTCGGCAGCTGAGAGCTCTGTTTCTCGTGGGAGCCAAGGTCATCGCCTTTGCAGAGGCCGGAAGGGCAAAGGTAAACAGAGGCAGACGCCTGCAGATGGCCAGAAGCAGAGGGAGGGTGAAGAGCCCACGCCAGAGGAAAACAAGGTTTTGTTTGCTGGCACAGCTTCACCAAAGGCTAAAGGCAAGTCTGATGGCCAGGAGCAGGGGGGCAAGCTGCAAAAGCCCACGCCGGTGGAAAACAAGGTTTTGCTTGCTGCAAAGGCTGCTCCAAAAGCCAAGGCCAGGTTTGTTGTTGATTCAGGCTGTACCCGCCATGTGTCGAAGGACCGCCATCTCTTTGTCTCCTTCAAGCCTCAAGAAGGTGAGATCCACCTGGCTGATGGAAAGACGTTGCGAATTGCGGGAGAAGGGACTGTGAAACTGGCAAGTCTGCACACGACCATCAAAGATGTACTGTATGTTCCAGGTGCTGCAGACAATTTGCTCAGTGTCCCACAGTTGACTGGGCGTGGTTTTGAGATTTCCTTCAAGAGGAGCGTCTGTGTCATCAGAAAAGGCAAAGAGGACATTTTGCATGCAAAGTTTATGGATGGCTTGTTCTGTATAACTTATGATGACATTGCTGCTGTTGTGTCTAATGTTGATTCTTGTTGTGTTGCACAAACTAACAAAGTTCTTCATGCAGGATGCATTCACGATGCACATCGGAGGTTTTGCCATCTCTCTTGGAAGGCACTGGCCAAGATGCCAGAGATGGTTGAGGGTTTGAACATCAAACCCTGTAAGTTTCACATGAAATGTGTATCTTGTGCAGAGAACAAGGTGAAGGTTGCTCCAAAAGGCAAGGAGTCTAGCAGGCAGGCTTCCAAACCCTACCAGCTAGTGCACGCAGACCTGGTTGGTCCACTTGCGCCCTCTTTGGGTGGAGCAAGGTACTTCATGGTTCTAATTGATTCTTTTTCCAGGTACATTCATGTGTTTATGCTCGAGCAGAAATCGCAAGCGTTTCCTAAGTTCAAGGCATTCTGTGCTTGGTTGGAGAATGTTCATGGTAAACGTATTGGCTGTCTGTTTACTGATCGAGGCGGGAGTTCACTTCTCAGCAGTTTGAAGCTTTCCTGACTGAGAAGGGAATCCAGCATGACTTGTCAACGCCTAGATCGCCATGGATGAATGGGCTTGCGGAGCGAGCAAATCAAACGTTGCTGCAAGGAATGAAAACATTGTTGCATGATGCCAATCTCCTGATAAGTATTGGGGGGAGGCTCTGTCGAATTTTGCTTACACTTATAATCGCAGATTGTCATCACCTATTGGTTGTACTCCCTATGAGAAGATGTTTGGTAAGAAACCCAACATCAAGCACATGAGAATCTTTGGTTCTGACATGTGGGTACACACCCCACAGAGCAACAAGCTTGGGAAGCGTGGGGCACATGGTTTGTTCATGGGGTACGAAAAGGTGCATACAGGGTATGGATGACCAACTCTAAGTCCATTAAGTTCACAAAGAGTGTTGAGTACAATCCTAAGTGGGGGGAAAATGTGGGAATTTTCCAGAGTTACCCAGAGGAGGATGAAGGTGATGTCAAAGAAGCAGCTAAAGCTGAGGAAGCTGCTGAGGATGATGATGACGATGATGATCAGAGTTCGGATTCCAGTTCAGTGGGCGGCGCTGCTGCTGATGTCAGTGACAGTGATGACACAGCAGACTACAAGAGCGCAAAGGCCTCAGTCAGACCATCTGATGCGTCTGACAATGAACTGGAAGAACCACTGTTCACCATTGGTCACTTTTCTCCTAAGAAGGAGGAGATGAGTCCAGAAGACTTGCGTCTAGTACGCAGATCTGAGAGAGCCACGAAGGGCAGACCTCCAAAGAGATTTGCTGATGAGTTTGCTAAGACAGCAACTGCTGTTCTTAGTAGCTCAGAGAAGGTATGGGAACCTTCAAGCTTCAAAGAGGTTCAGGAGTTAACCTCTAAAGATGCTGAGCCTTGGCTTAATGCCATGAAGGCTGAAGTTGATTCCTTGAATAGGAACCAAACTTGGGAACTGGTACCGGTAGTCCCAGGAATGAGACTGGTTGGCAGCAAATGGGTCTTCAAGGCCAAGACAGACCAGAATGGCAAGGTTGTCAGACACAAAGCCAGATTGGTTGCCAGAGGTTTTTCACAGGTACCAGGACAGGATTACCACGAGACCTACTCACCCACCGTCAAATATGAGAGCATTCGGCTGATGCTCAAGATAGCTGCAGAGGAGAAACTGCATGTTTCCCATCATGACATTAATACAGCTTTTTTGTACGGGATTTTGGAGGAGGAGCTGTTTATGCTTCCACCTGACGGGATGCAGATACAGAAGGGAATGGTCTGTAAACTGCGGAAATCCTTATATGGTCTCAAGCAGAGTGCCAGGTGTTGGAACACAAAACTCACTGAGACATTGCTTTCTCTAGGTTTTCACCAGGGCAAAGCTGATCCATGTGTGTTTGTCAAGGAGGAGGGGCAAAACAAACTGTATTGTTTATGTTTTGTTGATGATCTTCTGATGTTTTGGAAGAATCAGGCTTTGTACCAAAGCACCCTAGCTCAGCTGAAGGAGCACTTTGACATGAAGGATCTTGGTGAGGTATCCAACTATCTTTCTCTGCAGGTGGAGAGGGACCAAGCAGGTAATTTTCTGGTACACCAAACACAGAAAATTGCTGATGTATTAACCAGGTTGAATTTGGTTGATGCAAACCCAGCAGACACACCGATGGTGACAGGTTACCAGGTAGACAGTACTGCTGAAGCGTTTTCTGACACAACGCTGTACAGATGCATTCTAGGCAAGTTGAATTTCATTGCTAGATGCTCAAGACCTGACATAGCTGTAAGCTGTAACCTGCTTAGCAGACATGCCAACAATCCTACTGTTCAGGATTGGAAAGCTCTGAAGCGCATAGCCCGCTATTTGAAAGGGACTTTGCACTACAGGCTGAGGTTCACCAGTCAGAAGACTGGAGGTCTTGAAATCTTTGCAGATGCAAGTTTTGGAAGTGACACCACGGATGGTACAAGCACTTCTGGAGTATGCTACATGTACAACCACTGTCTGTTTGACTGGCTGTGCAAGAAGCAGACGACAGTGAGCCTAAGTTCCTGTGAAGCAGAACTCAATGCTCTGTCATTTTCACTCATGGATTGTGAATGGTTGATGCAACTGTTTAAGGACATCAGAGTTTCTGTGAAATGTCCTGTACAAGTGTATCAAGACAATAGATCGTGTTTGGCTTTGCTGAACTCAGAGAGTTGCAAGCAAAGGACCAAGTACTTGCAGATTAAGCTACATCGTGCAAGAGAGTGTATTCAGAAAGGACTCATTCAGGTGTCCTACATGCCAGGAAATGAAATTCCTGCTGATCTGTTGTCTAAGGTTGTTAACAGAGAACAACTTAAGGTTTACGTACAAAGGTTGCAATTGGGTTGAACCACAGGTACTACAGGTTACACGGAAAGGGGGAGGATGTTAGGATATTTCCGTTCCACCTTAAAAGGGAGCAGGCTTTGTGAGTCAGAGTCTGCGTATTTCCTGTTCACAGGATGTTTATGTTTTCTGTTGCTTTCGTTTTCTCTCTGGTGTCGCAGACACTAAAGCAGTCGGTCATGTTTTTCTGTGTTCTGATCAACGCTGAATAAACTTGTAAATAATGCTCTCCTGGGTGCAACTTTTGCTGTGACTATCTGCTGATAGAGTGTGCATGAGCTCTGGAATGTGGCAAGAAATCTTCTAGAAACTCATGTCGCTAATTGTTGATACTGCGTGACTACGGGAGGTCGATGGATCGTCCGGCAGCCGGCTTGGGGGCCATGATGGACTTTATCTCCCTGGCAGTATCCCAGGCAGTATATGATCATGGGACTTGCAGGAAGTTGCCTGACACTGAGTCATACCATTGGTCCATCTTCCTCAGTATTGTCTACACTGATTATTGTCTATTGCAGGGGTCAGCAAACTTTTTCAGCAGGGGGCCGGTCCACTGTCCCTCAGACCTTGTTGGGGGCCGGACTATATTTTGGAAAATGTAAAAACATGCTGGTTCCTGGACTGTCTGCGGGCCGGATTTAGAAGGCAATTGGGCTGGATCCTGTCCCCGGGCCTTAGTTTGCCTACCTATTGCATCCCATGTCACACCATCATTCACTCATATTGATATTAGTCCCATTTCCCACGCTCCACCCCAGCATAGTTTCTCATAGATCTTGCCAGAAAATGAAAATGAGGACAGCTTGGATTGACAGAGGCAATTAAACAATTCCGGAAACCCAGCAGTCTTAAGGATAAAAAGAGAGCATTTCTCCTCATTCCTTGCTGTTAAGAAGAAAGAGAAACTTAAAAGACAGTTAAATGAAAAGCTGTGAACATGAGACCATGAGGAAAGCTGGCAGATTAAAAGAAAATCTGTCTGAGTGGATAGGAAATTGGTCCACCTGATTTGAAAAATAGTACCTTTAAGGTTCTGTGCCCCTCCAGGGCTGGAGTAGAAATCTCCCCCTTTCAGGAGTGTAACTGGAGTGGAGAATAGGGGCAAATGACCCAGATACAAGCTGGATTGTAAATAAGAATGCAGATATCACCTTGCTGAGAGACTTGGGGCCCGTCTAGACTGGTTTCTTTTGTGGTCATATTCTGCAAGGGTGCAATAATGCAGAGGTTTATAAGTAAACAAAAGCAGAAGTTTTTCTTTTTGTAAAACCGACTCTTATTTATTTGGCAGTTTTAATGTTGTTGATATGCTTTTGTGGGGATAAGAAAATAAAATAAAGAGAGAGAACTATTGCTCTGAGCTTGTTGGAAGAAAGGTGGGATAAAAATGTGAACACACACACACACGCCTAATCCCTGCTAGTGCTGGTTGCACCTTAACAGAAAGCGCTTTATTTTATTGTCTGAAAAGACTTGGAGACTGCAGTGGGGCAGGGTGGTGGATGAGGCCAGGCATACAAAGCATAATAGCCAGGTTGAGCGCGATGCAATTGAGTGTAATTAGTAAAAAATGGAGAAAGAGATTACATTGCTGGTGGTTAAGTAATGAAGACCTTGATGGGAAAGGAAGCCATTTCTGTGCAGGAAAAAAAAACTTGCCATAAGTGGTGACTACAGATCGAAACTGCGGGGTAAAGTGAACAGGAGGAAACTCTCCTTGAGGTCAGATGCAAATGACGGCGAACAAATGGTTGCAAATACCGGGAGCTAACTTCAAAGCAATCGTGGCCATAAATTAAGTGACTGTTGACATTCATATCAAGGCAACTCTCTCCAGGCATAAACAAGGGCAGAAATGTCTGTGCTAAAACAATGTATATGCATGCAATATATATGCATGCAATATATGCATGCAAAAATTGCACCCCTCTTTCTTCATAGCTGTGAGGGCTTCAGATTGGTATACAGTTGGCACTTAGATTCTGAATATATAAAATCAGGACTGGGGTCAGAAATAGACATTATGTCACTTGGATGAGAAGGCCCTGTGACCCAGTCACTCCCTATGTAATGAAATAGCCAGACAAGATAGCAGTATATAGAGTTTGGGGTTCAATTAGGCCACAACTTTACTGGTTACAGATGTGAAGGGTTTGGCATAGGCATAGGCTGAATCCGTTTAATTGCCTCCAGCCCCTCTGCTGGAGGCAGATTCTATCTAAGGATACCATCTATCTAGGGGTAAACCACACCATGGCTATCAAATAGGACCAATGGGTCCCAGGGCAGCTCAGCTCAGCCCCACTGCCTCCCTGCCCATAGAAAGCCATTCATGCCCCCCCATTTGTATTGTTTTGTCATTCTGCCATTGAAGAAGACAAGCATTTGGTCAAAGGACATTTGGGGGTTTTTTGGTCATAACTCGGTGCTTATTGTGAACAGGAATTTGTCTACCGTTTGCCTCTTTCACATATCAAGGTATCTATTTTTAAACTTTTGTGGGCATCACAAAATTTGATATACATAGTTGCACAGTACAGTGGTACCTCGGGTTAAGTACTTAATTCGTTCTGGAGGTCCGTTCTTAACCTGAAACTGTTCTTAACCTGAAGCACCACTTTAGCTAATGGGGCCTCCTGCTGCTGCCACACCGCCAGAGCACGATTTCTGTTCTCACCCTGAAGCAAAGTTCTTAACCCGAAGCACTATTTCTGGGTTAGCAGAGTCTGTAGCCTGAAGTGAATGTAACCTAAAGTGTATGTAACCTGAGGTACCACTGTATTTCAGAAGTCAATAGCCACTGATTTCTAAATGTAACCATTTGAAAGTTGTATTTCTCAACAGAATAAAGATGTTAAATATTGTTAAAGGGCACTCCTGGCTGCCATGACTGTAATCTGTTCTTCAATACATTTCAACCCAACTACCTTTGTTATTCCCAGGAAGGTGCCCAGAAATTTGGTATCACCTGGCCCAGTTCCTTGACTTCAGGAGTGCTGTACTCTTTACAACCAGTCAGAACCTCGCTTTTGCTACACTATCAACTTCCTGTCTAGATTGCTCAACGCACTAGAAAACACCCTTCAGAATTTGTTGGTTCGTGTTCATCTTTCGCATGCATTTTTCAGTAAGATTAAATTCTTACGAGCTTGGGATCCCAATAAATTCTGACAGGCATTGGTAATTCTGTGAATAAGGCGCTGGCTTGTTACAATTTATAAGGTTGCTGGTTTATTAAAAACACATAGCATGGCTGAGTGGATTGGTTTTACTTGGCATAATCAGGTCACAGAAAATAATGTGCAATGAAAATGACTGTGGGATCACAGCGATTAGCCGCAATCCCCTTTAGCTGTTCTCTTCCCACCTCTCCCTCCCTCCTCCCTCCACCCCCTTTAAAAGTATGTGCAGCTTATATTCCACTCCTGTACAATGGGAACATGGGGCTATTTGATATGATTAAGCAAAGATTCAAAGCAGTGAGGTGCTATCAACATACTGATTTACTACTACTACTACTACTAATTATTTGCTTGATTTATATACCACCCTTTATCAAATGACCCCATTAAGAACACATTTTACAGGGAGCATCAATAATAATAAAAACATAATGAAAGCCTAGCAGACAGAACAATAATAAGATAATCATAAGACCTACATTGGCTCCCAGCATGTTTCCAAGCACAATTCAAAGTGCAGGTGCTGACCTTTAAACCCCTAAATGGCCTCGGCCCAGTGTACCTGAAGGAGCGTCTCCACCCCCATTGTTCTGCCCAGACACTGAGTTCCAGCTCCAAGGGCCTTCTGGTGGTTCCCTCACTGTGAGAAGCGAGGTTACAGGGAACCAGGCAGAGGGCCTTCTTGGTAGTGGCGCCTGCCCTGTGGAATGCCCTCCCAACAGATGTCAAGGAAATAAACAACTATCTGACTTTTAGACATCAGAAAGCAGCCCTGTGTAGAGGAAGTTTTTAATGTTTGATGTTTTATCGTTTTTTAATATTCTGTTGGGAGCCAAAGATAACAACAACAACAACAATAACAACAACAATTTTCTTTGCCCCACAGCTTTAACAGGCCATAGATTATTTCATATACTACAAAGGCCTCGGTAAAGAGAAATGTATTTGGCTGGCACCTAAATACATGTAATGGTAGCTCCAGGTCAGCTGCCCTGAGGAGAGCATTCCAGATAAATGCCAGGCAAATAATAATAACACTAACTGAATAATTGCTGCTGGAATTCTTGTTGGTGCAAATGTTTTACTGTAACTGCTCTCACTCATCTTCAGTTGTACAAACGGGGAAGAATAGTGAAACATTTCATGGGATTATTATGAGAAGAACCAAGAGACAGATAGACTGTTGGATGCTTTGGACAGATCAAACCATTACATTTGTTTATATATCTTTATGCATTTTTATCCCTCCTTTCCTCCACCCATTCTTCCAAGTAACTTGGGGTCATATACAGTGACTACTTGGGGTCATATACAGTTGTCGAACATAATCCATTCCAGCAGACTGTTCAACTTCCATTTGACAATCGAGGCGCAATTACTGGTCAGCAAAATCCATTGAAAAAATGGAGAAACTCACCTCAGAAGCCATTCAACTTCTGAGGCATGTTTGAAACCGGGAGCATTCACTTCTGGGTTGTTGGTGTTCGGGTTCCAAATTGTTCGGGTTCTGAAGTGTTTGACAACCGATGTTCCACTGTACATGGTTCCTCTAAACTCATTTTATCTAAACTCATATTTATTTGCTGCAAGAGCAAAGTGATGTAGGTTCGGCTGAGAGAGAGAGGAATTGTCTCAAGTTATCCAGGGACCTTCCTTGCTGAGTGGGGATTTGAACCCTAGGTCTCTCTGGTACAGCACTGACACCATATTACTTCCTATAGTACTGCAGGAGTACTGCATTACAAAATTTAGAGAAGTGCATTTTTGAAGGATGGCTGTGTTGCAATTTCAGCATTGTTTCAAAAACTGCAAATTAGAAAAGCCCACCTGTTAAATGTGAGTTGAATTTATCCACCATCCCTAACTGAGGGCAAATTCAGGAAGCATTTTCTTCCCTCTGAATGGGCAAATATTTTTGCCCGGTCAAACTTATCCCTGAAAACAAGCATACTTTTCAGTTCTGCTATATATATTTGGGAAAATATATTTCTTTCCGCTCAGATGCAATTTTAAAGCCCATTATAAAATATCGCTACTCCCACTACTGTAGCTGCATTAATATGGTGGGTTAGAATGGAAACAAATAAAGGTTTTTCATTTTTTTTCCGTCTTGTGTATATAAGAAAGGTGTCATTATATTGCTTTTTGACCAAACAGTATAAATATATCCAAATAACACCCACCTACAATAGTTTCTCCCAATTTTATCACAGAATCTTTGTAATCTTACAAATGAGGACCATTAATTCAAAGCCTTGTGTCTATGAATTTTAGTGAATTTTATGAAAACCAGGTTTCTTTGAAGTTAGAAAGCATCATGTAGCCATTACTGCATAGAGTACAAAATTAGAGGAAGGAGACTTTGCTGGAACAATGATAACATAACAGTTCTGTGCGGACCTTAGATGTCTATTAATATCTGAAACTACTTACACCCCCATATATTCTAAATATATGTACACGAGCTCCTACTTTCAGCAGAGATAATGAGATTCGACAGGGAAGGAGAGTGATGAAGAAACTAAAGCAAAAGCAAACTTGCAGCAAACCCTGAATATTTGGCATGGCTTGCACAACAAGGAAGATGAGCTTTCAGATATTATTTCTACCCGAGTGCCAGGGACATCTGCCGTGGTGGTTAGGGCTCATTCCAAGTGGCAGGACTGCTGAGGAGCCATGGGAGCGTGGCCAGTGAGGTCGCAGGAGTGTGTCTAGCTCGTCTTGTTTTCTCCCCATCCACCTCCCTTGAAAAGATCCCATTGGCACTCAAGCACTGCAGTTGTGCAAATCCTTAGCACCTAACAAACTGAGAAGTGTGTTACTTTGATTCAGAAGGGGTCCCTGATGTCACACACACACACACAAGATAGTGTGTGATGTTACACACACACGAGAGAGAGAGAGAGAGAGAGAGAGAGAGAGAGAGATCTAAGCATTATTATTATTATTATTATTATTATTATTATTTATACCCCACCCATCTGGCTGGGTTTCCCCAGCCACTCGGGGCAGCTTCCAACAAAATATTAAAATACAATAGTCCGTCAAACTTTAAAAGCTTCCCTAAACAGGGCTGCCTTCTAAAAGTCTGGTAGTTGTTTTTCTCTTTGACATCTGGTGGGAGTGCGTTCTACAGGGTGGGTGCCACTACCAAGAAGGCCCTCTGCCTGGTTCCCTGTGACTTGGCTTCTCGCAGTGAGGGAATCACCAGAAGGCCCTCGACGCTGGACCTCAGTGTCCGGGCAGAACGATGGGGGTGGAGACGCTCCTTCTGTGTGAATAATGTGAATATTCACCTTACAGAGGTGCCACGCGGACTTTATGAACCATGTTGGTAGGGTAACAAACAAGCTGGGTCCTACATATGATTACAAGGGAGCTTGGGGCAGGGAGTACTGCAGGGATTGCCAACATGGTGCTCTCCACGCTGTCCTCTCCCCACAATAGAATGAAGCTTGAAGCATCCTATTGTAGTCCAAAGAACAGGTTGCAGCGTGTGCTTGACTGTGGTGTCTCCATGTGCGGGGCATTCAAGAGTTGCTGCAGTTTGCCCATGGGCCCCAAATGGCTGATGAAGCCAGGTGTACTAAGCCGAGGCTTTGTGCAAGGTGTTGCAAGGAGGAAATGGCCTGATAGACTCTGAGATGGAGAACTTGTTATAAGACTACATAGCATCATGCAGCAAAATACATCAAGGTAGGATAAATAATGTACCCACAAGAAAATGTTACTATATTCCTCTTACGCTGGAGGCTACAATTAGAAAAAAAAATAGCAGCAGTGCACAGAAGCTTAGGAACAGCACAGTGCCTGTTAAGATCTTATCAGTCCTTGAAAGAATATAGATGACAAGAGAAAAGCTGCAAATCCCGCCTCAGTAGCACTAGGCATTTTATTGTATTGATGTATGTGCTTTGGATAGCCATCTTAAACGTGGCGGGTATTGATCCACAGCAATACCTTGCTCAGAATGCATATGAACCTGAAATTGTGCGCTTATTGTTTCTTTCAGAGTCTAGTACGTCAAGAGCGCCTGTCTCCCACCAGCACACCGTTATGTTGCTCTACTGATTTAATAAGGTCAGAGTTTACTTCTTGAGTTTAGGAATAATGGGGACTGTATTTTCTTACTTGTATTAAAGGAAATTGAGCACTTGGTGATACCCTAACATTAACCCTCCAGGAGAGATACGTTTAAACAGGCCAGTCGTGTTTCTGTTTCCTCAGAGGTTCCGCTGAAGGAATTCTGCATTGCGCTATGTTGAAACTTCCATCAGTGCAAGTTTTTCCATTCGCTGGGCAGAATGATCTCCCTGTTCTGGGGGTTCCCCTGAGCCCCCCACAGCACATTTGGAAAGTGTGGGGGCATGCAGAGGGGGTAGGAGGAGGAAAGCCCCATTCCACCAACAGAACTTGTGTAGGCCTTCTGCTGATGGGATTTGTTAGGTGAATCCTGTCCACTGTATTCAGTAGGTGTGATGCCCTGGGAATCCGATTCAGAGGCTGAACCGGAGGGATCCCAGCCTGCACAGCAGTCCCTGCCTCCAGGGCCGGCTGAGCTGGGGCAGGGCCTTGTATCTGAAGCGCCTGCACCTGTGCTGGATCCTCAGGAGCAGGCACCAGGTGAATCCACTCTGGCTCCAGGGGTGATTGAGGACACATTGCCTACAGGTGCACCTCTCCCAGCCCTGTCAGGGGAAGGTGAGTCTCCCCCTGGGTCCAGTAACCCTCCAGCCTCTCCTGAGCTGCAGAGGCTCAGAGCAGAGAGGCGGAGGGAACTGGTTTCTCCCAGGAGGAGTGCTCGCCTTAAGGCCAGGAGAGGCGGGTCACCTGGGGGCCAGGACTGTCCCTGGCCTCAGAGAAGATAAAGGCCAGTCAGCCCGGTCCCAGGTTGCGGGAGCAACGTCGCTGAAGACCTGTTTTGGCCAGCACCCAGACCTGTTCTTCCAGAGTTCCCGTCCTTGCCCGGCTCCTCGCTTTGGACCCCGCTTCATCTACAGACCCTCGACCCAGGTCCCTGACCACGCCTCACAGTAACCTCCCCCCGGGACCAGCACAGTAGGGCTTACTCTCAGGTAAGAGTAACCTGCACAGGGTTGCAGCCTAAGCGAAAAAGTGTTTCATATTGTGTGTTGCCGTGGCAAGTTCAGAGGAAGCTGTAAATGAACAGCACACACATAATATGCATGACTTTATCTCCTTATTTACAAACTAGCAAACTGGCGGTCAATATGATTGATGCTATTTTTGTTCTCCCATTAAAAAACATATATTCCTCCTTGACCTGCATCTCTTTTGGTTCTGCTTCTCTTGGCGCATTTTGGAACTGATGTTATAGCAAGCCAGGGTAGGCAGGGATTACTACAGCTTCTCAGACTGTCAGGGTGCGGCAAGTGAGCATTAAGATCCCTGGCATTCAAGCTTGCTGTGACATCAGAGCAGGTCAGCCAATGGCCTTGGGAGATTTAAACTGTGAGATTACATTCAGGGCTGGCCCTGCCTCCCATATGGAAAGGGACTTGACTGGGAGTTGAATCTTACTTGCTGGCAACAGGATAGCATGCCAAAAGCGGGCTAGTTTATGCGGTGAACTCACAATGAATGCCTCCCTTGCTCTCTGTTAATGGCAATGGTGCCCACCTGAGAGGTACAGGAACTGAAATCCAGTGAGTTCTAACTGCAAAAAAAGCCCTGCATTTATGGGTGCAGGCAGGCCAGACGGGTGCTGCTTCCTCACATAACATCAGCTCCCTGAGGTGGTTGTTTCACCCTGAGCAATGCTAGGGCCAACCCTGGCTGCATTTCTTGTACATGTTGAACTTTTTAATGACACCTTGGGTTTGCAGATGGATCGAGCAGTTTCAAGGTTGTTGTTTTTTCTAAAAATGAAATGTTTAAACATATAAGAAAACAGATGGCACTTGCTAACTGGTTGAGCAGCATACCCGAGACACAGTTACCCAACAAAATCAGACAGTGGATGCTCAGAATCAGCTAGACTACCAGAATCATTTGGAGAGAACAGTTCGACCTCCCTTAATTTGGGTGTGTGTTCATTGGTCCCTTTATTTATTTACCACTTAATTCCAAACTAAGCTTTTAAGCAGTTTTCCAGTGTGAAAACCAATTATGAAAGCATTAAAACATACACAATAAAACATCAAAAGCTAAAACATCAAAATATCATCTTCTGAGGCCCTCCTTCATGTGCCTCCTCCTCAAGAAGCCTGGAGGGTGGCAACCCGAGAACGGGCCTTCTCTGCAGTGGAATGCTCTCCCCAGGGAAGTGCGCCTGGCACCTTCATTATACACCTTTAGGCACCAGGCAGAAACATTCCTTTTTACCCAGGATTTTGGTTGATTTGAATGACATCCTTTGCCATTTTAAAATGTGGGGTTTGGGGGGGGTTATTGGGTTGTTGTTTTTATTTTGATTATGCATTTTGTGGTTTTATATTTTGATTTTATTTTGTGAACTGCCCTGAGACCTTCTGGTATATGGCGGTATATTATTATTATTATTATTAATAATAATAATAATAATAATAATTAATAATAAACATCAATAACTATCTGTGGCCTTTTAGAGTGGTATGGTGTTTTTAATATATATTTAATGTATTATTTTATTTTTTAAAAAAGCTATGTGTTTTAATGTATTTTAATATATCTATGCAGGGTTTTGTTTATTTTGGGGGTTTTGGTTGTAAGTTGCTTTGTGTTGCCTTGGCCAGTAAAAGCAACCAACAAATTCAGTTAATAATAATAGTAACATCCGTTCCGGAAGTCCGTTCTTAAACCAAAACCCTTCTTAAACCGAGGCGTGCTTTCCCTAATGAGGCCTCCCGCCGCTGGTGCCCTTCTGCTGTTTGGATTCTGTTCTTAGACTGAGGTAAAGTTCGCAGACTGGGACACTACTTCAGGTTTTGTGGAGTTCGTAAACCAAATAGTTCTTAAACAGGGCTGTTCTTAAATGGAGGTACCACTGTATATATATATATAGAGAGAGAGAGAGTGCATGCATCAGTATTTTTAACATCAGTATTTCAGAATGTTATGCACCTGCAAAGAAGAAAGATAGGATTCTGCCAGCCAAATGGATAATGTTGGCAGGGAATATCCCGTGCTAGGTACAAATTTAGTACACCTGCATCTGTCAAGCAGTGATGGTTGGAAGGCGTGTCATCTTCCAACCCTATGTTTTTTACTATCTTCATGGAACAGCAATGGGAGGCACAGATAGTTCCCATTGGGATGCACCAAATGGAATATTGGTTCAGCTGCTGCCAGGGCAAGATCTGTAACTGGAATGGGTGTCGACGCTTGCTTTGGCAAGCCCTAGTGAAATAACCAGATGAGGGGCATCCAGTTGGAGAAAGCCAATCAATTGCCTGTAATCAGCAGCAGCAAGGGAAGACTTCATAGATCAGAACAATGCCAGTTATAACTAAAGGAGGAATAAGCATCCTGTTATCATCATGGCTGTTACATAAGACCTGCAATTTTGGTTTTGGGTGTTGTAGCAGCAGAGAAAGAATCTATGCTTGATTCTTGATATATATATCCCCACAGGAATTCTTGATATATATCCCCACAGGAAAAGGCCAAAATAAATTGTTTGGTTCTGTTGTTTGAAAGGGAACAAAGCAGCTATTGTTTGACCCTGAGCAGACCCTGTCCTAAAAATCCAACCAAGCTCCTTTTGTGCTAGGCAGATGCTTCATTTTCTGAATAAAGAACTCATGCTTGGCACACTCTAACATCTAGATTTTTTTGCATTATACAGCAAACAGTCGGTTGCAAAAAAAAAAAAGGGTGAAAGATGAAAGACAGATGTGGTACAATTGTAGGTTCACATAAAGCCAGTTTCTCATATTTCTGATAGATGAGATTCAATTTTTCCCTCTACTAAATGGGATAGTTCACTCTTACACCTGAAATGATTTAACTTTGAGAACTCTGTGCATGAATGTGTAGCTTGCAAAAAGGTAAAGGTAAACGGACCCCTGACCATTAGGTCCAGTCATGGCCAACTCTGGGGTTGTGGCGCTCATCTCGCTTTATTGGCCGAGGGAGCTGGCATACAGCTTCCGGGTCATGTGGCCAGCATGACTAAGCCGCCTCTGGTGAACCAGAGCAGCGCATGGAAACGCTGTTTACCTTCCCGCCACAGCGGTACCTATTTATCTACTTGCACTTTGACGTGCTTTCAAACTGCTAGGTTGGCAGGAGCAGGGACTGAGCAACAGGAGCTCACCCCGTCACGGGGATTTGAACCACCGACCTTCTGATCAGCAAGTCCTAGGCTCTGTGGTTTAACCCACAGTGCCACCCACGTCCCATGTAGCTTGCCTGCTCAGCCTAAAACGACTTTGATGTTTTGCGAACTCTTTGCCATTGAAATTAGACGTTCAACTCACTGAGAGATTTTATTGTTGTTCAGTGTCTGGTTACATATTTGGAAATGTGATAGTAATAACATTTATGCTTTTTGTTTTGTTTTTGCCCTTTAAGCATTTGGAAACACTATTCATATGAAGCTTTCACATCAGAACTTTTCATTGGCCCTCCTGTACTCCATTGTCAAGGTCAGGCCCTGATTTAGCACTCCTAGTGCTTCAACTCAGTTAGACAAAAAGTGGAAAGTTGTGCTTCGTCAACAAACTGACGGTAATGCACTCTAAATCTCTGAATTATTTCATTTGATTGTTTTGCACAGGCAAAGACGTATAGGGGATAAGACAGAATCCTGTGAGACCCTGATATATAAATGTCATGGGAAGTCTCCAATGCTTCTGGATGTGTCTTTTTGACATTTTTACTTGGGAGTGGTGTGGGCTAATGGACAATAGATGCAACATACGCCCACTTGACCGTTACAGTGCCACATTATACCCATTCTGCATTTGTAAGAAATTGATCTTTTAGTTTGGCAGCACCTACACTTTGGAACTCCCCGGCTATTGATATCAGACAAGTACCTTAACTATACTCTTTTGGCACCTGCTAAAAGCATTTTTCCTTAGACAAGCTTACCCAGATATCTAGAATGCGGATGTGTTTTCAGTTTAATTTTTTGAATGTTTTAAATAGTTGTTTTAATTGCTTTTACCAATAATTTAATTGTTTTATTCTTTTTGTACTCTGCTCTGAAGTTTATAAATCAAGTGGTATATAAACCTTATTTAAAAATATGAAATAATTGTTAAGACATAGTTAGCAGATTACTGTGAATGAGCAGATAGCTCCCACTTTGCTCTGAGTGAGGACAATTTTGGCTTTACATTATGTCCTGTCTAGAGATTGAGTTTTGCGTCATTCACCATGATCAAACCTTGGCTTCAAACCATGGTTTGTTTGGAGCAAAACAAAAACTCGGTTCCTTTTTTCGTGTTACACCCTAAGACAAGGCTCATGGTTTGTTGTTCCTGCTCCTACTAGAGGAGGAGCAAAATAGGAGCAAACTGTGTGTTACAGTAAACCATTAACCATGATTTTCCATGACAAACAAATGCTAGGCGTGTGTTAATTGTCTGACCGCAATTAACATGTTTTCTTTGTCTTAAAAATAGCAGCTGCAGATGGGAGATATTGAAACTAGGACCTAGGCAGATTTTTAAAAATCCCTTTCTGCTGTGTTATAGTCCCAAAGAAAACTGCCCCTCCCATCAATTTATATACCACTAAATCATTAGGGGGAAATATTCCCAAAGAAATATACATAAAACTCACATAAAATCAAAGGTAAAAACATAAAAAGGCAAAGATCAGAGGAACATAAAACTGGGTCACAAGGCAGGGTAAGCTTGTGTAAATAATAACTTTTTAAAGATAGTATCTAAAATTAAACACGGAAGATGCCTACATAATGTACAAAGGCAATTAAATCCACAATGTAGGTGCTGTTATACCATGTGTCCAAATTTTCAAGGCCACCAAACAGATATCAAAAAGGACAGTTCACAGTGCTTCTTCAGCAGATCTCAAAAAATGGGAAGGTATGGAGAAATAATAATAATAATAATAATTTATTATTTGTACCCTGCCCATCTGGCTGGGTCTCCCCAGCCACTCTGGGCGGCTTCCAACAAAGATTAAAAATACATTAAAGGCTTTCAGATAGGCTAGTCCCAAGTTGCTTAGGGCTTTATATATCGACACCTTAAAATTGGCACAGTATCACATTGGGAGCCCATGTAGATACTTCAGCAGCTGTGCTACATTCTATTTATAACCTCCAGACAACAGCTGGACTGCTGCATTGTGCACCAGTTATAATAGCTTCTCAACCAGCCTTAAGGGGAGTTTCCTAGACACACGTGTGCATGAGGACATACGGTGAGTCTGGATTAGGCCAGTGGCCCATCTTGTCCAACGTCCTGCCCTCACAGTGGCCAACCAGATGCTTGTGGGAAATGCACAAGCAGGAACCAAGCGTAAGAACAGTCTGCCCACCTGCAGTTTCAAGCAACCAGTTTCCCCAAAACATGACTGCCTCTAACAGTGTAGACAGAGCATCGCTATAATTGGCTCCCAGTACGTTTCCGAGCACAATTCAAAGTGTTGGTGTTGACCTTTAAAGCCCTAAATGGCCTTGGCCCAGTATACCTGAAGGAGCGTCTCCACCCCTATCGTTCTGCCCGGACACTGAGGTCCAGCGCTGAGGGCCTTCTGGCGGTTCCCTCATTGCGAGAAGCAAAGCTACAGGGAACCAGGCAGAGGGCCTTCTCGGTAGTGGCGCCCACCCTGTGGAATGCCCTCCCATCAGATGTCAAAGAGATAAACAACTACCTGACATTTAGAAGACATCTGAAGGCAGCCCTGTTCAGGGAAGTTTTTAATGTGTGACATTTTAATGTATTTTTCATCTTTGTTGGAAGCCAGCCAGAGTGGCTTGGGAAACCCAGCCAGATGGGCAGCGTACAAATAAATAATAATAATAATAATAATAATAATAATAATTAATAATGTCTAGAAGTCATTGATAACGTTATGCTCCATGAATCTGTCTAAACCTCTTTTAAAAATAAAAATAATAAATTTTATTTATACCCCGCCCTCCTCGGCCAAAGCCGGACTCAGGGCGGCTAACACCAGTAAAATCACAATAAAAACATAATAGGGGAGAAAAAAACCCCAATTTAAAATACGGGTTAAAATACAATTTAAAATGCAGCCGTGTTTTAATAGTAGCCCATAGTTCAAAACCATAAGGGGAGGGAAACATAAGGGTCAGACTGAGTCCAAATCAAAGGCCAGGCAGAACAGCTCTGTCTTGCAGACCCTGCGGAAAGATGTCAAGTCCCGCAGGGCCCTAGTCTCTTGTGACAGAGCGTTCCACCACGTTGGGGCCAGTACTGAAAAGGCCCTGGCCCTAGTTGAGACCAATCTAACCACCTTGCGACTTGGGACCTCCAAAGTGTGGTCATTTGTGGACCTAAAGGTCCTCCGTGGGGCATACCAGGAGAGGCGGTCCCGTAGGTACGTGGGTCCTAGGCCCATCAAATCTGGGGCCTATCACTGCCTCTGGTGGGAGTGAGTTTCATTGTTTAACTATATGATTGGGCAAAGTACTTTCTTATATCTGCCCTGAAACTTCCAACGTTCAGCTTTATTAGTAGATGCCCACAAATTCTAGTGTCACGAAAGAGGGAGGAAAACTTCTCTATCCACAATGCAGAATTTTATAAACTTCTATCAGGCTACCTCTTACTTGCTCTTCCCCTAAAGTCCCAAATACTGAAACCTTTCCTCATAAGGAAATTGCTCGACCCTTCTGGCCATATTGGTTGCCCCTTTCTGAACCTTCTCCAACTCTACAATATCCTTTTTGACCAGAGATTATACCCAGTATTTCAAATACAACCGCACCATAGATTTGTATATCAGTATTATGATATTGGCAGTTTTAATTTTCGGTTCATTTCCAAAGGACCCTAGCATGGAATTTGTCTCTTTTCACCGCTGCTGCACACTGGGCTGACATCTTCATTGAGTTATCTACTATGACCCCAAGGTCTCATTCCTGGTACATCACTGTCAATTCAGACCCCATGAGCGTATATGTGAAATTAAGATTTTTTTTTGCCCTGACAGGCATCGCTTTATACTAGTTTATGCTGAATTGCCTTTGCCATTTTACCACCTTTTCGCTCAGGTTGGAGAGGTCCTTTGGGAGCACTTCACAGTTTCTTTTTGTTTTAAGAACCCTGAACAATTTAGTATCATCAACAGACTTTGCTTTCTCACTGCTCACCTCAACTCCAACGTTAAATAAGAATATTATTCAACCATTTCATTCCTCTTATTGTTGGGGTGGGGAATCAAAATAATCTAAATAAATATAAGCATGTCATAGTCTCCAAGACTGGTATAATGCCTTAAATATTTTTCTTCCCAAACAAATTGTTTGCATATCATGGTTTGGATTGCTTTTTCTGCCATTCCTCTAAGATAATCATTGGTTTGCACACACACATTACTTTCAGCCTGTTTGTTTTGGAACAGTTTCATTCATTTTTAAACTGTTGACTATACTAAATAAAGAGATGTTTTTTTGCTTTTACCATATTATTAGTTTATTTCCTCCCTCCCAACTTTAATTTGCTTCTTAATGGCATGCTGTGATCTTTTGACAGTATTATAATTTTCCTTATGTACGTTATCTTCGTCTGAGTGGTCTTTTTTTCCCTTTCAGAAAATCTGAAATGAATGCTTTTTGCTCTTTGTGGCAGATTTCCCATTATAAAACAAAGCTTTGTTTTCAAATGGTTTATAATCCTCACTAGAATATTTTGCATTGCACTATGGCTTGCAAGCAGAACATAACATGAAGATTTTGGGAAGTGGGGCTGAATTGCATTCCAAAACAAATATACGGGGAAATTTAATTCATTCTCTTGCCTGCAAAAACTGTGTGTTTATCCACAACATTTAGAAGTCTTTGTCTGCAATCCCATACACACATATCTGGGATTGGAAGTAAATCCCATAGAGCTATCTTACTTTTGCATTGTCTATTTTCTGTTCTGTTCTTGGTAAATACAGTGGTACCTCGGGTTAAGAACTTAATTCGTTCTGGAGGTCTGTTCTTAACCTGAAACTGTTCTTATCCTGAAGCACCATTTTAGCTAATGGGGCCTCCTGCTGCTGCAGTGCCGCCGTTGCGCGATTTCTGTTCTCATCCTGAAGCAAAATTCTTAACCTGAGGTACTATTTCTGGGTTAGCGGAGTCTGTAACCTGAAGCGTCTGTAACCCGAGGTACTGTACCACTGTAGCCACATCTTTATATGTATGTCCTGTCCAGGGCTGGCCTGCCCATGAGGAGGGGTGAAGCAGCTGCCTTGGGTGACAGAATCCTGTGGGGCAGTGCCCCGGCAGGTGCCCCACTCTCCCCTGCCACCACCATGTGGCCCCAGTAATCAAGGCTTTGGGGTGCAGGGGGGCAGAAGTGGGGCAAGGGTGAAACTGTGGTTCAGCAGTCAAAAATGATGTTGGTGATTCTGCGAATGGGGCCAAGCACTACTATTTATTCCACATTAGGTAATCTAAGGACACCTCTAGACTGGCACTGTTTTCAGGTGAGATTCAATCACATATTGGCAAATTCAGGTTGTGCAATTAGAGTTGATTTGAAGCTCCCATGCAGCAATGGGGAAATATACTGGAAAGCGAGCAATAACCTTTTCTTCACACAATGTCATCCGACCTCTTCACAAACAAACCAGAATGGACGCTCAATAAAGAGCTGACATTGTCTAACCACCCCACATACTTTGTGCAAACAAATCAGGATGAATTCTCAGTAAGCAGGTTGCCTGGAAATAACCTAAGATAAAAGAAGACCCCATTGTGAAGTCTTAAACATAGCCATCATTTTCTGCATAGCTAGTTTTGCACTGCATTACTTCTTCTTTTGACTACTGTGCTATGTGACTCTGTAGAAATATCATGTTGCGTATTAATTAAATACTAGTTTGGCATAACTGGGAAAGCTGGATAAAATAGAACAGGCTCTGATTTGGCAAAATTGGATGTTATGGAGTTTTTACAGCTCGAGGAGTTTTCAGAGATGAAAAATTAAAGTTAGCATATCACATTAAAAAAACAAAACCATATCATGTTATGTATAACATATGATACAATACCATACAGAACAATGAAATTAAAAAATCTACATAAAACGTTCAAAACCCCCTAAAAACTCTGAAACCCCATTTTAAAATACAATATACTATAGAGACTTCTTATGCTGCGTTTAGAACCAGAATTGCATTTGCGTAGAAACTGTTTCTCAGGTGGCTAGACCTGGTCTTTATAACCCTATACCTTCTTCCAGAAGGCAGAAGCTGAAAGAGATCATTTCTGGGGTGCGTACTATCCTGCGCTATCTCTGCAGCTTTCTTATGGCACCTGACAGCATAGATTTGATCCAAGGTGGGAAGAGTGCACCCAGTTATTCTCTCTGCAGTCTTTACAACCCTGGACAGCATTGTTTTTTCCCTGGCCGTGCAGCTCCCAAACCACACACACAGACCATAAGTTAATACACTCTCCACAGTACAATAACATAAGCTGTGTCTTTGGGTTAGCAAAGATGCAGGCTATAAAATATCCCTTTTGGAGATGTTCAGTTAACTTACAGCATTTGCTGAGTTGGGAGCCAAAGCTGCATGGCTCCTTCTTTGCTTGTTCCAGGAAGCACAAATAAAAAGGGTTGAAGGAGAATGGGATGGAGGAAACAAAGGCAGCTAAAGTACACACCCCCAATGGCAACCTGAGCTCAGGTTAACCCTTTCATGCATGCAAATGTGAATCAATAACTGTATATTATAACAGTGTCTTCCTGGTTTTAGATTTTGAAATACAGACAGATTTTGTGGTCATGAATCTCTTGGGTCACATGCAAAGCCTAACACACACAAGTAATGTAGTCCCCAACATCCTGAAGTCAAAATATCTGATGCAAAGACTGCTTTTGTCAGGCACACAAGTCAGCTTATTTCTGCATAGCTCAGTAGTTGTACCAATTCGTTAAAAATTTGCACAGAATTGGGAAGGTTGGGATTATGTAGTGCAGGGATTTGAGGATTCTATTTGAGGAGACTGGAGTTGTGTCTTTGCTTGCCTGTCTTCTGAATCAACAGACGACTATTTCAGCATTGGTAAACATGTATTAGGGAGCCAACAAGAACTAGTATTGTTTACCTTCTCAAATGGATGAATCATCTTTGTTAATAGATGGAACAGCACAAATCATGAAGCTTTGTTTGGCACATAATTAGATATTTAGAGTATGTTTTTGCCTAGGCATAATAAAAATGATGACAACCCATGGAGAACTTTTGTCAGGCAGCAGATTTTCCGAAGGACAATGACTATAATTATTGTGAATGGGCAAAGACTTTTGGAAAGGGCTCCAGCAGAACCCCATTGAAATAAAGGAAAGCTGCATACTTTCAGTGGGGCTTGTACAAGAAAATTTCTAGGAAGGTTCAGCCCAGGATATTTGCTTTGGTGTTGCCACTGGCTCCTATGTAGCTCAGCACACAAGACTCAGAGTGCAGCAGTGTATTTTAATTCTTTATTCAGAAAAACGGATTACAGCTTGGCAATACTACCTGGCTGAACTAGCACAACTTAGATTGCACTAACCTAAGATGGCGGCGCAAGCACTTGCAGCGGCTCGGCACTCCGAAGACCGGTATTCAGTGATTTGTGTTTTATTTTTACTTGTGAACTTATTGCTGCTAGGGACTGTGAATACTCAGGCACAAGTAATTTATAGTCGTCAAGAGCTCTTAAGTATCGGCAGAGGAGAAGGTTGCAGCCAGGAGGTCTCAACCTATAACATTCCAGCTGAGCTTATCAGAGAGCCTCCATATTTTGCACATTCTTGGGATACTCCCCTTGCTCTCCTTGCCAGAAAGAAAAGAAAACGGAGGGGGCGCAAGCAGAAGAGGGGTTGCAGGGCTGGTCTACGAGTGAGGCTAGGTAAAAATCCCCACAAGCCTACATTGCCAAGTCTCCTTGTATCAAATGTGAGATCCTTACCCAACAAGGTAGAGGAGTTGGAACTTATTACCTCTCGGCAGAAAAGTATCCGGGACTGCTGTGTTATGGTCCTTCTAGAGACGTGGCTGGATCCCTCCTTTCCACAGGGACTTCTGCAGCTAGAAGGACGCTCAGTAATTAGAGCGGATAGAACCGCCGAATCCGGGAAGAGCAGAGGAGGAGGAATTTGCGTTTATATAAATAACAACTGGAGCTCGGACATCAAACAAATGGACACGCATTGCTCTCCTGACTTGGAGTACCTAGTGGTGAAGTGCCGCCTTTGTATTTGCCACGTGAGTTTAATGTTGTTATAATAACAGCGGTGTATATACCTCCCGATGCAAACACTACTACAGCTATGGGCCACCTGCTAACTGCTATTAGCAGACAGCAGCGGGCCCACCCGGATGGAGCATTTGTGGTTGCTGGTGATTTTAACCGAGCCGATTTAAGAACTGTGCTCCCTAAGTTCCACCAGTATGTTGATTGTCCCACTAGGGGGGGAAATACCCTGGACCGAGTATATAGTAACATCATGCATGGATACAAGACCAAGCCCTTGCCCAATTTGGGGCAGTCAGACCACATATCTTTACTTATGATACCATCATATAGACCTCTCGTACGCAGAATTAGACCATCAACTAGAGAGATACGAGTGTGGCCAGTAGGTGCATCTGAGCAACTTCAAGATTGCTTCGGAGCACCGAGTGGTCGCTCTTGTGGAGAATAATGTGGACACATACGCTTCAACAGTACTGTTCTACGTTAAAAGCTGCATTGATGTTGTCACTACCACCAAACAAATACGGGTGTTCTCTAACAACAAGCCCTGGCTAAACAGGGATGTGTATCTTCTGTTAAAGGCAAGAAATGCTGCTTTTCACTCTGGTGATGCGCAACAGTATAGAGAAGCCAGAGCCAAATTGAAAAAGGGCATTAGGAACGCCAAAGCTATGTACTGCCGGAGGATCGAAAACATTTTGAGAGCTCCGACCCTCGTCGAGTATGGCAAGGCCTGCGACAAATTACAGGGCAAAATATTAAAAACGAACTGGCTAGCAGCAGTGCGCACCTGGCTGATCAACTGAATCAATTTTTTAGTCGCCTTGAGGTGGGAACTGGAACTACCGTCACTACAGCATTGGCTACCAGCACATCATCAGAAACTACTACTGATAGACAACCATTTTTATTACAGACCTGTGACGTACAACGTGCCTTTCGGAGCATTGACATTAGGAAGGCAGCTGGACCGGATGGAATCATGGGACGGGCTATTAGGGACTGCGCTGCAGAATTAGCTGGTGTGTTTACGGACATTTTTAATCTATCCCTGTTGCAGGGTTCTGTCCCTACCTGCCTGAAGACATCGATTATAGTGCCAGTCCCCAAGCAGTCAGTGGTGGTATCTCTCAATGACTATAGACCAATAGCCTTAACATCTGTCGTTATGAAATGTTTTGAGAGATTGGTGCTAGATCATATTAAGGCTGGTCTTCCATCCACTCTAGACCCGTTCCAGTTTGCATACAGAAGAAATAGATCTACTGATGATGCTATTTCCATCGCTGTCCATACTGTACTGAGTCATCTAGAACGACAGGGAACCTACGCAAGGCTGTTGTTTGTGGACTACAGTTCTGCCTTCAATACAATTCTGCCAGACAGGTTATTTCTTAAAATGACCAATTTGGGTATACATCAGAAGATCTGTCTGTGGGTAAGGAATTTCCTGACTGATAGGCCGCAGACAGTGAGAATGGGCCCTTACTATTCTTCTACTCTAGTATTAAGCACAGGAGCCCTCAGGGATGTGTGCTAAGTCCCTTTCTCTATTCCCTGTACACATTTGATTGCACCCCACTGTATGAGTCCAACACAATCATCAAATTTGCGGATGATACAACAGTGGTGGGGCTCATTAGTGAGAACGATGAGACTGCTTATAGGAAAGAAGTACAGGGGTTAATTCAATGGTGTAAAGAAAACAATCTTATGCTTAACACCAAAAACCAAAGAACTCATAATTGACTTTAGGAGAAAGAAAAGCGTATTTTTACCATTGCACATAAATGGCGAGGAGGTGGAGAGGGTTGGTAGTTTTAAATACCTGGGCACTTACATCTCTGAGGACCTCTCATGGACTGTAAATATTAATATGGTTGTGAGGAAGGAGCAGGGAGGTTGTATTTCCTGAGAATGCTCAGGGGACTGAATCTATCTCAGCACCTACTTCTGTCCTATTATCACAGTACCATCGAGAGTGTCTTAACATATAGTATATTATCGTGGTATGGGAGCAGCTCTGAAACGGATAAAAAGCTTTACAGAGAATAATTAAAATTGCCCAGAATGTTATTGGGCTCCAACTACCAACCCTGGATGAGATCTTCACGTCTCGCACTTTGAAGAAGTCACACAATATCCTGAGAGATCCCACCCATCCTGCTCACAACTTCTTTGAACTGTTGCCTTCGGGCAGAAGATATAGGACAATGAAAACACGAACCACACGCCTTCTGAATAGTTTCTATCCAAGAGCTCTGATTGCACTAAATAATGATCTCAGGGCCAGTTGCAAGGAATAGCAAGCAGGGAGTAGGAAGGAATGAGACAGGTTTTTAGGTTATGTTATGCTTTTAATAGGTTATGTTACATTCTGGAGTATGATATGTTTTTATAGATTATGTCTGAATAGGATGAGAGTGTTGGAGATACGTGCAAATGTGTATGTGAACCCGGTCTTCGAGTGGGTGTTTGATTTTCGTTGTTGTGTATACTGTGTATATACGGACAATGACAATAAATTTATCTAACATCTAGCACCCATCGAGCAGTTTACAGGACTGAAGTTCTCTGCCCTCTACTCCCCCCTATGTCTACTTTCACCTAAGGGATGTGAGTCTAAACCAATGAGCCTCTTGGGCTTGCCGATCAGAAAGTTGGTGGTTCGAATCTCCGCAATGGGGTGAGCTCCCGTTGCCCTGTCCCAGCTCCTGCCAACCTAGCAGTTCGAAAGCACGCCAGTGCAAGTAGATAAATAGGTACCGTTGAGGTGGGAAGGTATACGGCGTTTCCGTGCGCTCTGGTTTCCATCTTGGTGTTCTGTTGTGCCAGAAGTGGTTTAGTCATGCTGGTCACATGACTCGGAAAGCTGTCTGCAGACAAACGCGGGCTCCCTTGGCCTGAAAGTGAGATGGGCACCACCTTTGACTGGACTTAACCGTCCAGCGGTCCTTTACCTTTACCTTTTACCAAGTCTCCTCTGCCTCCTCAGCCAGAAGTTTCCCAAGCAACCTTAAACTACATCAGCCAGGAGTGCCAACTTGAATAAAATATTGAAGGAGGCCCAGGTAAGCCCCGTCCTGCACAATCAATCGCATGACGTGGTGCACGCGCACCATTTGAATGGCAATGCCCATCAACTCTGGGGGTCCCTGGCCCCCTCAAATATTTTATTGGCAGGCCCCTAGGAGTTGACTTCTATGACGCGGAGTTTGTGTGCATCTGTGCCCTTTGCACTGGCGGAGGAACGGGGGTGGGTGGCCAGGGGGAGCGCACCGCCCCAGGCACCATTGGGGAGGGGGGTACCATCACAACCGCCCTCCTGGACACGCGCTGTGCACTCACCCACCACGCCGGGTGCCATACCCCCGCGGGCAGCACGCCATGCCCACAGATGCACACCACGCCCCCATGGACGGCGCACGACACCCCTGGGACGTACACCAGCCATGCCCCCATCTGCTCCAGTGTGGTGTAGTGGTTAAGAGTGGTAGCCTCGTAATCTGGGGAACCGGGTTCGCGTCTCCGCGCCTCCACATGCAGCTGCTGGGTGACCTTGGGCCAGTCACACTTCTCTGAAGTCTCTCAGCCCCACTCACCTCACAGAGTGTTTGTTGTGGGGGAGGAAGGGAAAGGAGAATGTTATAATAATAATAATAATAATAATAATAATAATAATAATAATAATAATAATAATAATTTATTATTTATACCCCGCCCATCTGGCTGGGTTTCCCCAGCCACTCTGGGTGGCTTCCAACAAAACACTAAAATACAATAACCTATTACACATTAAAAGCTTCCCTAAACAGGGCTGCCTTCAGATGTCTTCTAAAAGTTTGGTAGTTATTTTTCTCTTTGACATCTGATGGGAGGGCGTTCCACAGGGCGGGTGCCACTATCGAGAAGGCCCTCTGCCTGGTTCCCTGTAACTTGGCTTCTCGTAGTGAGGGAACCGCCAGAAGGCCCTCGGCGCTGGACCTCAGTGTCCGGGCAGAACGAATGTTAGGCGCTTTGAGACTCCTTAGGGTAGTGATAGAGCGGGATATCAAATCCAAACTCCTCTTCTTCTTCTTCTCCACCCCCAGTGCCGGAGCATGCAACTTCTCCACTGGCCCTTTGTCCTGCTACATGCATAGCCGTCAGTGACCTTGGAGGCAAGGGGGGAGGAAGGTTTAGTACAGTAGGAATGACAAGCTCCTGGGTTGCTTCTGCAGACTCTGCCCTCCTCATCCCCTGATTCACATCTGGAGTCTGCCCTGCTTCCTGCATGCCAAAGTCTGTTGCTTCTTTGGCCTCCAACCATCAGTCCCCTCTGATCTGTCCTCAGTGTCCCACCACTACTTCCCAGGCTCTGAGTCTTCCTCTTCCGACGCTTCTCTAGGGGGTTCCTCAGCTTGAGAGCCAGTGTTGGTGTGGTGGTTAAGAGTGGTGGACTCGTAATCTGGTGAACCGGGTTCGATTCCTCGCTCCTCCACATGCAGCTGCTGGGTGACCTTGGGCTAGTCATACTTCTCTGAAGTCTCTCAGCCTCAGTCACCTCACAGAGTGTTTGTTGTGGGGGAGGGAGGGAAAGGAGATTGTTAGCCACTTTGAGACTCCTTAGGGCAGTGATAAAGTGGGATATCAAATCCAAACTCTTCAGCTGGTACCATGCCTCATCATCCCACCGGTCCCTGACATCTGGCTAACTAACTCCCCACCCCCTCACTTTCAATTGGAATCTCTCCTTATTTTCCCTCCGATTACTCTTAGCCATAAAAGTAAGCAAGTTTTTTTCAATCACATTTTTAATATGAATGCTAAATGTAAATCAAATCAAATCAAATGTTGAAAAACAATGGAAAACGATAAGACCTCCACCCACCGCAGCCTTTCAATCTGTTTCAGTGCCAAACTCTTTTATCTGTGCTGCATGTTTTCATGCTGAGTTTAGTTCTCCTATATGAGTTTTTGGGCTGCCCGCTTTCGTGAGAGTAAGGCCTGTTGAAATCAATGGGAATTACTTCTGAGTATACACGTATAAGGTTGCGCTGTTAATTTGTTTTTAACGCTGCTGCAAGCTGCCTTGGGAATTTAGTTATAGCTATAAATAGTGGAAATAAATGAGAAAGAATAAAACAGAAGCACAAAGGCTGACTCCTGTTCACAGCAACTGAAAAGAAAATTCCCTATAATACCAACCACCTTTTCACCTTCACACTCACACCCTGGGAGAATTTTGATGCAGTTTCAACCAGCCCCAATCTTTCTAAGTTTTTATTTTTTATTTCTTTTAAAAAGGAGTAAAATGATAAAAAAAAAATTTTTACCATAGGCATCAATTTCCAGGTATTCTCTCTCTCTCTCTCTCATCTCAAAAGAGAACTATAGATTTGACAAGCTTGAGGGAATAATGTCAGTCATACAGCCCATCTCATTAGTTTTCTATCTTGCACTAATGAGGCTACAATTCAAAATATTGCTCTCTTGACATCTCTGCACTTTCCAGGTTGAGCTTTAATTCCGGCTTCTTTAATTATCTGCCCAAGTTCTCATCTGCTAGATCTTTGGGCTTCCAAAAAGAGAAGTTACATTTCCCCCCTTTTATTATAAAGCAAACCAACTGTAGCATGACCAGCTACCTTCCTGTCTCTGTTCCCATTAGGAAGAGTTTTAGTGCGATGTACCATGGTGCAGATTCTCATAGCCTCACTTTGTACTTTTTTTTGGGAGGGGGACTCTTGAATTGTGGGGAATGAAATTGCGCAGGGTTGTTAAAATACATGCAGCTAAGTGAGGAGTTATTTCATATGAACAAGGGCAGGTTACTTTAAATCATCATTCAAACTGCCAGGAGAGAATATTTTTGGGGGCACTAATTTAAATCATTTTCCATTTTGTAATTTAATTAATATATTTCCTGCACAAACATGCTCATTAATTGGTTGCTATAACAATTAGACCATATTGATTTACAACTAAATAGAACCTTTATATTATCTCAAAAACCCAAAACTTATATTCATACACAGGCCGGATTTAGGTTTGATGAGGCCCTAAGCTACTGGAGGTAATGGGGCCCTTTATATGTCCAGCTGTCCTTTGTCAACAACAAATTGTCGCTGTTTTTTGTGTTGACTATATGCTATATGGTAATTTATGGACCTAATAGATATCTAAAGCCATTTGCACATAACAAAATACGTATTTTATCAAAGTAATTGTTGAACTGAAATACAATTAAGAAGAAGTATATTAATAATGAAATACAATTAAGAAGAAGTATATTAATAGTGAGAAAACCAGTGATATTTTAGGGAGCAGGCTAGCAGGCGGGGGCTATTACTTACATCATAGGAACCTACACAACACAAAACACTGTAGCTGTATGTAGGTTTTATTTTATTTGGTTTTTATTTGTTTTCTATGCCGCAGCTAGACTGGTGACTGGGAGTGGCCGCCGAGACCATATAACACTGGTCTTGAAAGAACTACACTGGCTCCCAGTACATTTCCAAACACAATTCAAAGTGTTGGTGCTGACCTTTAAAGTCCTAAATGGCCTCGGTCCAGTATACCTGAAGGAGCGTCTCCACCCCCCATCGTTCTGCCCGGACACTGCCGTCCAGTGCCGAGGGCCTTCTACAAGAAGCCAAGTTACAGGGAACCAGGCAGAGGGCCTTCTCGGTAGTGGCGCCCGCCCTGTGGAGCGCCCTCCCTCCAGATGTCAAAGAGAAAAATAACTACCAAACTTTTAGAAGACATCTGAAGGCAGCCCTGTTTAGGGAAGCTTTTAATGTTTAATAGGTTATTGTATTTTAGTGTTCTGTTGGAAGCAGCCCAGAGTGGCTGGGGAAACCCAGCCAGATGGGCGAGGTATAAATAAATTATCATTATCATTATCATTATCATTATCATCATCTTATATTTTGGAAATGTACGTCCAGGTTGTTGTTTTCTTTAATTTTTTGGGGGGTCCCCAAGAGAGTAAGGCCCTAAGCTATACAGTGGTGCCTCGCAAGACGAAATTAATTCGTTCCGCGAGTTTTGTCGTCTTGCGATTTTTTTCGTCTTGTGAAGCACGGTGTCGGGAAAGTTTTGGAAAAGCTTCAAAAATCACCAAAGTCTTTAAAAACCTCAAAAAAGGCTACCACACCGCGTTCTATGAGTTGTTCCTCGAAGTCAAGTCGCAACTGTATTAACGGTGTTAAGAAAAAGGAAACAAACTTGCAAGACGTTTCCGTCTTGCGAAGCAAGCCCATAGGGAAAATCATCTTGCGAAGCAGCTCAAAAAACAAAAAACCCTTTCGTCTAGCGAGTTTTTTGTCTTGCAAGGCATTCGTCTTGCGAGGTACCACTGTAGCTTGTTTATCTTATATGTAAATCTGTTCATACAATCTGGGTGGCATTTTCATTACATAATTATAAGATGGTTAGGCTGCAGTCTTGTACATATGTACCTGGGAGTAAACCCCATTGCAATCAGTGGGGCTTACCTATGAGAAAGACATGTATAGGCTCATGCTTTTAGAGAGTTTTCATTGCATCCCACCAAGATCTCCTCAGAGTAGATCAGAGTGTGGGATGTAAACACAGGAGCAGTCAATGACAACATTCCTAGAGTGTACATGTTAGAACATGGGGAGGGATGTCTGTCCAGCAAGCAGGTAAACTTCCTGGGGACGGACTTCCTCCGCATGTGACCAGAGGTGGGTGTGGCCTCACCTGTGCAGGTTATGCCAACAGCACAGGGCAGGCAGCCATCTCTCTCTCTCTGCCATTTTCCTTCAATGAGGAAACATCTAAGGATGCCCTCTTGGCTCTCAGCCAAGAGAGGAGATAAGGACTATCTTGCTACAAGATAGATTCTGAATGTATGTAACCTTTTTAAGCTGTCTGCCTTCTGGGATCATATTGTGAACAGAACGTGAGTAAACTCTTTTATACTTTTATAAAGACTGTGTCGTGTCTTGTATTTTAAGAGGGAACAAAAGGGGAAATTACCAGAGTAATTATTATAGAGGTTCTAGCGAACCTGTGCACACGTTACCGTTGCGAACTTAAAGGGGAATGTTTATAAACTCTGCTGATATTTTGGGAACTTGTTAGCACAAGTTGGATAAGGATATAATTAGTCAATATATCCTCTCCTGCACCCCAGAACATTCCCACACAGAGTAGATCAGAGTAGATGCCCTGAAATGAATGGAACTAAGCTAGGCATGTTGCATCCAACTAAATCCAATACTAATTTCAATAGGGCTACTTTTAGTATGACTAAAGCTGTATGCAACCCTTTAGTGTATGTTATGGACTTGATGGTGAAATTAATGGATTTCTTTTTTAATTTCTCTATACATGTGAGAGGACACTAAGCAAGATCCCTTACTTGAGGAGAGGCATTTGACCCCTGTGCACATTCACTGGAAAGTATATCCCAGCAAGTTAAATTGGACTGAGTTATCTTAGCCTGGAATTGCACTCAGAATGCTGTGATTCCTTTTCATGCTGGAATTGTCTCAGTTACTTGAAGGATGTGAGTTTGTGAAACAGGAACCCGGGCCTCAATTAATTACATGTCACTGGTTCATCACATGCTCCACAGTTACAACATACAGAGCAGTCTCTCACTCCACTAAATTAACATTAGAAGGGTCACTCAGTTGAACTTAGGGTTCACGATAAAGGGAAAATGTATGTGCATATATCTCCACTTCGTGTAGGGCCTAAGGCATTTAAACTTGTACAGATAATCATCAGCATCTTGAATTGTGTCTGGAAGGCTAGTGGAAGTCAGTGTAGACTAGACATCAAACCATTAAAAAGGCTGGTTCGTAAGTTCCCAAACTGATGTTCTTGCCACATCCCAGTAATTAGGACTATGTGTATTGGGTGAATAATGTAGTTCCTTTCCGTGCTAGTGATGCAAGCTAATGGCGTCCACACAGCTTCCATAACATAAGTATGTGCAGAAGAATGCCACGTCCAAAAAAGTTCCACTTCTAGTTTGTTCTGCTCATAACTAGTTCTACAGGCAGAATGTCAGATGCTTCAGACATTACATTTTTTAGTATTAACAATTGTACACATATAAATATATCATGTGAAATGGGACAAACGAGTGGAAACACATTGTCATGAATATCAGATAACCAACGGCAGCTAGAAAGCTACGTCAGGAGCAGATCTATGTAACAGCAGCCATGTAATGATTGATAAATGATGGTGATTATACCATGTAATGTGTGGGGTGGCCAATGGTTTTTCAGAATTCAGACCTGTTTTTACCAGTCATATGGAGTTCGCTCATTCAGCCCAATAAGGTAATTTGATTTAAAGCATAATTTTAAATGCTATGGATCACAATATATATTTACTTTTCTATTGGAACGGGCCAGAGAATGTTGAGCATTTCATGAAATAATCAGAGAAGCCTTTGTTTCCAACTCCATTTCACAGAATAGACAAATGGCCTGCGTGAAATCTTGACTTCATTTATACAGTTTTATTATTGAAGGGGCTATGCTCAATTAAGAGGGGTTTGCTTGATTCTTTGGTTTAGAGCCAAACAATGAAACACATTTTAATAAACACATCCAGACACGGGTCCAGGGCCTTCTGAGCCATTATCAATCCAAATGTTACAAGGTACCATCGGCACACTGATGACACTTGGTTCTAAAACTAATGACTACTCCCAATGGTTTCACGCAATAGCACTGCAGACAATTGAGTGTCTTGCAACACCCTATGGCTCAAGAGATCTCTATGAAGTAGTGATCTCTCCCACTACTGTTGTGATCTGTCCCACAGCTATCTTCTGCCTGGCAGCAGCTAGCTGAAGTCTCAAATAAAAGCCCTTCTCAGCTCAGGTACGTGAGCTCTTGTCAATTGGAGAGGCCAAGGGTTCAGCTGGTATGTCCCACAGAGGAACTTACGGTCTTCAAACAAAAACATCTTGAAGGTACCGGGCCACAGAGAGGTTATGCTGGCCTCAACTAGAGCCAGGGCTTTTTCGGCTGTGGCTCCGATCTGGTGGAACGCTCTGTCACAAGAGACTAGGGCCCTGTGGGACTTGACATCTTTCCGCAGGGCCTGCGAAACAGAGCTGTTCCACCAGGCCTTTGGCCAGGGCATAGCCTGACTCCCTCCTTTGGCAATCTTCACAGAACTCTAGCCCAATGGTTGCCATCAATTTGATTTGAATTAATTTTATAATGAAATGATTTTAGAATGTTGTATTATTTTATTGTTGTTAGCCGCCCTGAGCCCGGCTTCGGCTGGGGAGGGCGGGATATAAATAAAATTTATTATTATTATTATTATTCAACACGGGGCTATATATGTATGCAAAGCCAAAGGCCTTCCATTGTGTTATTTACGACCACTCTTCATTTTTCATAGAGGAGAATGGAAAAGGAAGTGGATTTTGGTTGCTATCACTAGTGAAAGCTCACATTTTATAATACATTAAAATTTATGCTGGATGACTTGGATAGAACCCTGTCACTTATCAGCATTCCAACTGCAAAACAGAGCCAAAAGAATCTCTCTCCCTTTTTAGAAAGATAAAGCTTCTTCCTGTAACTGCCAGAACATTTCTAGCAGTTTCACATCAAGGATTTTTTTTCCAAGAAGAAAGCATCGTACACAAAGCTAAATAGATTAGAATGGGCGTAGCTTTTCTACACATCAGAAAAATAATAATGGTAAAGGTGCTGTATAAAAAGAAAGAGACAGGCAATATAGGGATGAGCATGTGTATCAAAACAAGAGACCCTGGGAAACATTTTCCTTGAATATCAGCTTTCGTCTTGGGATGTTCAAGCAGCATCACATGTACTTTGTAACATCGGTGAGAAGGCTGCTAAATGCTCTCAGCTTTGCAGCTGGGCAGCTCCAGAGAGTGCGGTAGAGGCCGAGAATTTCTCTCCTGGCTTTGCTGTTCAAGTGTTGGGCCATTAGTACGATCCCCTGGCACCTGAAGTAAGGAGAATTTGAAGTGGCATTCTGCTTTTCCTCTCTTGAGGTTGCAAAATACCTCAGGTTACTCACAGCTTCCATTTGACCTCAACCTTTAGGTTGGTTACGTGTTCAGAAGAAAACAGCAACGAGGATCCTTGGGTGAAAGCTGTAAATAAAGAAAAGGGAAGTGACCGGCAACAAGATGACTCAAAAAGATTCATTGGGACCAGCAGGCACTTTTAGAGAAGTAGGGAAGGAGAGAGAAGGGTGATTGAAAGGGGCATAATAAGGTTAGGGAGAGTGGGCTGGGGATGGTCCCATAAAGGGAATGGAAGGGTCAACCAGCAGACCTCTCATCCAAAGAAAAGCAGATGGTAAAGATAATTAGTCAGGACTGACGGTTGTCAACATCTGGTTACAGTTTGTCTTCCTACATTTTCCCCAGATATGCAGAGCTGAAAAATAGTGAAGGGGAAATAGTACACTGCTATTCAAAATTCCTTCTCAACCAAGCACAAGGAGGATAAACAAAGGCTTCTTTTATGATTTGCGCCATTTTTTCATAGAAAGTGATGTTTAAAATAATACTTAATAAATAAAAAAAATTCAGTGACAGGCATCCTCCCACTGCAAATGGAAGGAATTTGAATGTTTGACTCATGTACATGTTTTCTTTGAAGACATCAGCTAATGAAGACAATCGCAGTTCTCATAGGATGAACATTTGTTCTCAGCTTGACAAGTGTACTGTGTGTATTTTGGAAGGTGTGCACAGCTCCCAACATTACTTTATTGAGGTATTTTATTTCTCTAATCACGTAACAAGGTTATGCTGTAGAGCTCTGGGATAGTCTTATAACAAATTTTCTCTTTCCATTCATGCATGACTCTCCCGTTGGAGGATAATGAGCACTCCCCACACATGTCCAAGAATAGAATTTGACCCAAACAAGTATTTACCAATTTAAAATGTCATAGTGAATGATATACAAAATTATCTCTGAACTGCAGCCCCAATGCATTATGTGAAACAGATGAAGGGCGGCTAACCAAATCCAATTCACATTATGGATCATTATGCTGCAACTGCGGCATGTGGCAAAATAAAAATACTGACATTTTGAGGTGTAGGTGAGGTATTTTGGATGTTTGTTTTATCCCCTCTATTCTTAGCCTTGGTTTACTATTGCAAATCTCCAACTCCACCCCCCCCAAAAGCCTCACAACAGTGCTCATCAAATTCTGTAGGTGCTTAAGAAGATCTGAAATGTCATTATTAGCACAGTTAGCTGGCTGTAATGTATTTTTATTATAGGGGAGGGGACCTCAACCAGTGAGCACAATTTCAAATTTTAGTAGAGGGGTCAAAGGGTGTGTATGATAGGGCAGGATGTTTTTTAAGCATGGTTTAAATGCCTGCTCTTGAACAAACCAAATATTCAATTGCAGATCAACAACAAAGAAACCCTACAAATGTCCAGTATATATATATATTATAGTTAAAGCTATGGTTTTCCCAGTAGTGATGTATGGAAGTGAGAGCTGGACCATAAAGAAGGCTGATCACAGAAGAATTGATGCTTTTGAATTATGGTGCTGGAGGAGACTCTTGAGAGTTCCATGGACTGCAAGAAGATCAGACTTATCTATTCTGAAGGAAATCAGCCCTGAGTGCTCACTGGAAGGACAGATCCTGAAGCTGAGACTCCAATACTTTGGCTACCTCATGAGAAGAGAAGACTCCCTGGAAAAGACCCTGATGTTGGGAAAGATGGAGGGCACAAGGAGAAGGGGATGACAGAGGACGAGATGGTTGGATAGTGTTCTCGAAGCTACCAGCATGAGTTTGACCAAACTGCGGGAGGCAGTGGAAGACAGGAGTGCCTGGCATGCTCTGGTCCATGGGGTCATGAAGAGTCGGACATGACTAAATGACTAAACAACAAAATATATATGTTTGTTTGTGTATGTGTGTGTAGTTTGTTGGCACTATTTTTTATACATCGAAGTATATTGAGCGGGGACCTTTTGCATGCATACCCAGTAAACTGACCCATTTTATTGTTTTTAAGAGGGATGAGGTACTTGTGGCCTCTAGATGTTGTTGAACTCCAACTTCATACCTGACCATTGACCATAGTGGCTGGGACTGATAGAAGCTGAAGTCCAAAACCATTTGGTGATCCAAAAGTTCCCTAACTGCTTTATAACAATAGCCACTCACCATCCAGTACCAATTGAATTAGCCAGGATCTAGGTGCTCCTCAGAAACAATCACATGTCGTCTGAAACCTGGGAGTTAATACTTCTCTGCACAGCTTCCAAGTAGCGCTCCTGCTCTTAACATCAAATTGGTATCTTAGATGCATTTTTTGCTACGTTAACAATTTTTCTATGCTTCTTTGCCAGAAACTAGGCTTTTTTTCTTCAATGGAGCTGACTCCAGGATGCTAAAGATGAAACCTTGCAGGTTTGTGATTCCCCACGAGCGTTAAAATGTATATCATCCCTCTGAGGTCTAGTTTCTGCTGCTATTAAATGGATGTTCCATCCAGTTGCACAAGTGGACAACATTACTAAAGTCAGTATCTGTATCATCCCCAGCATAACTCTTCTTCACCTGGTTTATCAGATTAATTAATCTTTGCCCACTGTCTCGCACAGGAGATTTATCCTTCAGCACTACACAAGACTAATGGTTTTATAAAATAAAAATAAGTTCAGCGTAACTAAAATTAGCACTATGCTTCACAGCCTTTACCTTGACATGTTGTTAACTGCATGGTTACTGAAGCAGCTGCAAATTAATCAGTTTTTGATGCCTAGGCTTACATTCATACTTCAGAGGTGTACGGTCCCCTCTTCTCTGTGCTCCTGCCTCCTTTGTGGAACAAGCAGTAGATTTGGGTTGGTGAGGGGCTGATTCTGATTGGGGAAATGAGGGAAGACGTTAAGCATCTTCTCCCTCAGCACCATTGTTCTAGCTAAACTGGCAGTTCCGTGGTTGCAGCTTAGTAAAAAAACAAAAACAAACAGTGAAAATCCAATCACAGATAAATATGTAAAAGGTAGAATGGTCCTTAGTGCCTTCAGAGGGAGGACATCACAATCCTACAAACAACACAGTGCGGATGGCGCTATGGTCTAAACCACTGAACCCCTTGGGCTTTGCCGATCTGAAGGTCAGCGGTTTAAATCCCTGTGACGGAGTGAGCTCCCGTTGCTCTGTCCCAGCTCCTGCCAACCTAGCAGTTTCAAAGCAGGCAAGTGCAAGTAGATAAATAGGTACCGCTGCGGCAGGAAGGTAAATAGCATTTCCATGCGCTCTGGCTTCCGCCACAGTGTTCTGTTGCACCAGTAGCGGTTTACTCATACTGGCCACATGACCTGGAAAGCTGTCTGTGGACAAATGCCAGCTCCCTTGACCTGAAAGCGAGATGAGTGTTGCAACCCCATAGTCGCCTTTGACTGGACTTAACGGTCCAGGGGTCATTTACCTTTTATGTTGTTGCTGTTGTTATTTTTTTTTTTTTTACATACAACACCATGCAATAATATAAGGTAAAGGTAAAGGGACCCCTGACCATTAGGTCCAGTCATGACCGACTATGGGGTTGTGGCACTCATCTCACTTTATTGGCCGAGGGAGCCGGCGTACAGTTTCCGGGTCATGTGGCCAGCATGACTAAGCTGCTTCTGGCGAACCAGAGCAGTGCACAGAAACGCCGTTTACCTTCCCGCCGGAGTGGTACCTATTTATCTACTTGCACTTTGATGGGCTTTCGAACTGCTAAGTTGGCAGGAGCAGGGACCGAGCAACGGGAGCTCACCACGTCGCAGGGATTTGAACCACTGACCTTCTGATCGGCAAGTCCTAGGCTCTGTGGTTTAACCCACAGCACCACCCGCGTCCCTCATGCAATAATATAGTGGTGTATTTAAAGACAAAACTACTGCAATGTGTTACACAGCCTTTGAAGACTGTTTGAAAACTGCAGGTCAAAATACAACTGCTTGGATGCTGACTAAGATTAGTGAATAGAGAGAGTGTTCAACCAGGTCTTAAACAACTGTTCTGACTCCTGGTCCATTTCCAGGTACACTTCTGTTTATTTATAAAGACCTACGTGCCTTGGGGCCTGAAGGATCCTCTGTTCTGACATGAGGCACTCCTAAGTGCCACCACCCTCTGAGGTGAGGTGCGATGGGTGGCAACTGGAAGAATGTATTTCTTGGTTGTGGCGCCTTATGGAATGTTTTCCATAGGGAGTCTCACTGGTATTGACTCTGATGTCCTTTTAGCATTAGGAAGTAATGTTTTGTAGACACTTAACTCTGGTTAAAAAAAAAAAAGTTAATGAAATTGTAATCTGTGGTGGAATTGTTTAAATGCAGCGTGTTTTCTGCTCTTTGTTTTATCTTGTTTTCTGTATGATATTTGTAAGCTGGCCTACAGAAATTTTTTTGTATTGAAGAATGGGGTGTGCAGACAAATAAACATAATTCTAAAATATGGAAACCAAAAGTTCCAGAAGCTTCAACATAATGTATGTGCAGTCTTTCTGTGCCATACAAAGGCTAACAAAGGAAATGTATCTGAAAAGAACTAGGTCTATGTGTGTGCTATGGGCATGCAGAACACACACATACCTCACTGCCAGAATATAGTGTGGAATTCTTAGCTTTTGTTTTAAGAGAGGAATTATCTTGCCCTTATGACAACGACTATGAGCAGGAAGTGCCTAATGAAATCTTAGATGCCAGACAGGAGTTGCTGAAGCATATCTTCAGTGACCTACATACTTGCTCAGGGCCACTCCAAGACATTTTATTGCCTGCGGCAAAGGACAAGGTGGCAATCCCCAAGCCCATTCCACATATAGAAGCTGTCCAGATAGGAAGCTGAACTGGCAACCCCTTCCGCCCTACCTGATGGGAGCAGGCTCTCTTAAGGGATGCAGGGCAGGCTTCATGGTGCACACAGATCCAGAACCCTACTGCTCCTCAACTCCCAGCATCTGCTGCTTGAGGTAGCTGAATCTACTTAATTGATGGGCCAGCAACTGTTGTTGCAAAAAGGCACTTTGCGTACCTGGGGAGAAACTCAACATAGTGCAAATAACAATCATTCCATCAGTGCAAGCATTTGAGCTTGCCAGAAGAAATAAATGATCTTCCTCTCCTCCCCCATGCATTATTCTAGAGGGTCTCCTGATCTCTCCCCGAGTCAATGTGGAGAGGGCAGGGGAAGGAGATGGGGTGAAAGCCCTATTGTACTAGCAGAAGTCCTTGTGTGGGCTTCTGATGGTGGGATTTGGTAGCTGAATTGTTACAAACAGTACTTGTTTGTATTTCATTGCTATTTGCTCCCAGTTTTCTCACCCTCTCTCTCTATATGCCTGCCAATTAAGGATAACGCTTCATGTACCTTATGAAGTAGACTCTATTCCATGAAAGCTGATGCTGTAATAAATGTGCTAGTTATGTAGAAGCCGCAGGAGCTTTTTGTTCTTATTTTTTGCAACAGGCTTACATGTCTGCACCCCCTGGCCCCTCTGAAGTGATCTGCACAGAGATATTAACAGAAAGTTAGAAAATTGTGCTGCTGCCACATTTTTGTCTTCCTAATGATGCATTCCGCTTGCAGCACTGGCTCTGCAGAGATCTGGGAGCGCTGAGTTTCACTGCTCAGAATCTGTGCATGCCACATACAGCAGAGGGAGAGAGGAGGAGAGAGTTGTAAAGGGGCGGAAAGATCCCACTGGTGCATAACAAGAGCTCCCACTGAACTGGAGCAAATAAGAGAAGGCAAGTTGCAGTGGAGGGAGGCTGCCTTGATTCTGAACAAAACAATTTTCTAACTTAGATGAGAGGGAGAGGAACAGCATGGGGGTGGGAAAGGAGTGGGAAACAGCGACAGAAAAAGAGCACAGCAGCAGCAAATTTCAGCATATCCTCTTGAAGCTGGATGTCCCCACACACTGCCCTCTAAAGGATGCAAACAGAGTCTTTATCTAAATCAGTGTTCCCGACCTTCATGGGTAAGAAGACCCCTCTTTCACCTCAAAAAAATTCATGGACCACTACATGCTAATTGTTCTAATTTTCTTGAAAACATGCAGGCTTACTCCTAAAGCAGTTTAAGACAACTTTTACCACTACTACAAAACTATGGGCACTCTCCTTTAAATCACATTTTGCACATTTATGAGCATAACCTTTAGAATTTTTGTTTCCCAAACTTAAATCCAGACAGAAACCATCACGAAATATACTTTCATTAAAATACATAAGGTGGGAGGGAAATGCATTAAATGCTACTTCAGAACAAATATGGCTATGACGCGGGTGGCGCTGTGGGTTAAACCACAGAGCCTAGGACTTGCCGATCAGAAGGTCGGCGGTTCAAATCCCCGTGACGGGGTGAGCTCCCGTTGCTCGGTCCCTGCTCCTGCCAACCTAGCAGTTTGAAAGCACGTCAAAGCTCAAGTAGATAAATAGGTACTGCTCCGGTGGGAAGGTAAACGGTGTTTCCGTGCGCTGCTCTGGTTCGCCAGAAGCGGCTTAGTCATGCTGGCCACATGACCCGGAAGTTGTACGCCAGCTCCCTTGGCCAATAAAGCGAGATGAGCGCCACAACCCCAGAGTCGGCCACAACTGGACCTAATGGTCAGGGGTCCCTTTACCTTTACCTTTATGGCTATGATAGATTAAAAATGATTAAAAAGAAGTACGGGGCCAAATTCAGTTTGTTTATCTTACACCACCAATTCATAATTTTTGAATCAAATTAGGAAGAGATTACTCTCTAGATCTTTTAAGACGCATGTTGAAAGCAGAGTGAAAGTCCAAAAGTCTGTCTTTAGGGGAAAGGCGGTGGGATGAGGACAACAAGCCCCCTTCATCTCACAGAAATTAAAATTTGCAGCTTGCCATGAAGACTGTGAACACAGCTGTCATGAGCCTGGTGATATTAAATCATTCAAGAAATAAAAGACAAGGAAAGACCAAAACTTAATAGCTGTCAGTCCACCAAACAAATCCATTCGCTAACCAAAGTTGCCCTTCCTATGCACATTTCCTTAAGAATCAAGTAAACTGAAGCCAATGGGACTTAACTTCCCATTAACTATGCAAATAGGTTTTTTTTTATCATCCCCAAATCTAGACCAGATGTGATCTAAGTATTGGGGGGGGGGGAGGAATGAACAGGACAGACATGTTAAAATAAATGTGCGCTGATGTCATGGCCAATTTGGCGCTAAGATGTTTTTAAAGAAACAAAAATCCTTTCACAGAAAGTCTAGTGTTGAATAGAAAATCCTTTCATCTTAAATACTGTCAGAATATGGAAGAAATTGAAACACAGACTGATGAAGGATGTCTCTTTTCTTGCCACTGTTGTTGCATCCTTAATTTCCAAGTGAAGATCAACGTGTGCTATATAAACTGTGGATACAGTAAAGGTCTTTATAGACTAATTGTCTTTTATGAAAACAAGACTCCCATAACAACCCAGTAATTACAGGACAGATTGCAGGCACGGAATGCAAACTGGCTATTTTTACAGCAAGTACATTATTTCCTCAATAGCAAAGCTATTCGAGAAAAAATAACTGGGGAATTAACCCCATCTGAGAAATAAATGCAGAACTTCAGATTTAATACATGAGGGTTGGTTATAGAATTGTTTCAGTTGCTAATAAATGCAGAAACAAACCATGGTGAAATTAGGAAGTAATGGGAAAAATATTTCAAAATCCAGATGCCACAAGAAATATGGGAGAAATATCCAATAAAATCCATAACTGCACAGATAAGGGATGGAGACCAAAAACTGATAAACAAATAGTTCATCCCAGTGATGTGGTCTGCTCTCCTAACAAAACAAAGCTTATAAATTTGTTGTTGCACTGTACAAAAATAATGGACTTTGAGGTTTGAGTAAAATAAGCAGGGGTGGAAATACACTGAGAGAAAAATGGCAGTTTTAAACAATAGCAGATGTCTAAGCAAAGCAGGGATATATGAATACTGAGAGGAAAATGGCACTGACCACTCCAGCTTTACTCATTTTTTTTCCTTCCATGTTCCCTTACCACTTCTCTTCCTATCTTGTGTTGCAGCTCTCTCTCTGCATCATTTATTCTCTTATCACCAGGCTGGGCACTGTTTTCCTTTCCAGAGTAGAAAGAGGCAAAATAGGTGTTGAGCAGTTCCGCCTTCTCTCTGTCACCCAAGAGCATTTCTCCATCTTTTCCACAGTGAGCACCTATTTCCTTGTTCTTCCTCTTGCTTCAAACATAGCTGAAAAAACCTTCATTATTATTTTTGAACTCTCTTGCAAGCCTGACGGAGCTCATTCTGAGCTTTAGCCTACCTGACCTTCTCCCTCCAAGTGTTCACTACTCATTTATACTCTTCCTTTGTGACCTGCCCTTTCTTCCATTTCTTATGCATGCTCCCTTTCAACATCAGCTAATTTGAATGCTCCTCACCAGTTTCTTTAAATGCCCCCCACTTTTCTTTCTTGTTGGAATTATACCTTTCCATTTCTTTGGTATAATGAATCCCTAAGGAGTGGTCATTTCCTCCTCATTGACCAGTTTTTCCCTGTTGGTGATGATCAGGTCCAAGATAATTGATTGTCTTGTTGCTTCTTCCACCTTCTGGAAAATGAAATTGTCAGCAAACTGTTGGATCTTGCGTTCTCAACCAGGTTTGAGCTCCAACTGATACCAGAGTTGTTGAAGTCTTCTACAAGTATCATATATCTCCTCCAAAGGCTAGTTTTGTCTCCATCTTTCTCTCTGCTGAATTAACAAGGGCAACACTGAGACTAACAGAGCCTCCAAGTGTCCCTACTTTCCACGGGTGTCCCTGATTTGGCCACTGGTCCCATCACCTCCTGGCAAATAGAAGGGGAAGAAATGGAGCCAGTGAGAGATTTTACTTTCTTGGGCTCCATGATCACTCCAGATGGTGACAGCAGTCATGAAATTAAAAGACGCCTGCTTCTTGGGAGAAAAGCGATGACAAACCTAGACAGCATCTTAAAAAGCAGAGACATCACCTTACTGACAAAGGTCCGTATAGTTAAAGCTGTGGTTTTCCCAGTGTTGATGTATGGAAGTGAGAGCTGGACCATAAAGAAGGCTGATCGCCGAAGAATTGATGCTTTTGAATTATGATGCTGGAGGAGACTCTTGAGAGTCCCATGGACTGCAAGAAGATCAAACCTCTCCATTCTGAAGCAAATCAGCCCTGAGTGCTCACTGGAAAGGACAGATCGTGAAGCTGAGGCTCCAATACTTTGGCCACCTCATGAGAAGAGAAGACTCCCTGGAAAAGACCCTGATGCTGAGAAAGATGGAGGGCACAAGGAGAAGGGGAAGACAGAGGACGAGATGGTTGGACAGTGTTCTCAAAGCTACCAGCATGAGTTTGACCTCCACTGCGGGAGGCAGTGGAAGACAGGAGTGCCTTGCGTGCTCTGGTCCATGGGGTCACAAAGAGTCGGACACTACTAAACAACAACAACAACAACAACAACCCTGATTTGGAGAAGCCATCCCAGTTTCTGATTTGATCCCGGAATGTCCCACTTTTCTTTAGGATGTCCCTATTTTCATTGGAGAAACGCTGGAGGGTATGGAGTTATCCAACCCCCGAGCCTTCTGAAGGCAATCCTGTATAGGGAAGGGTTGTTTTTTTTTTAATGTTTAATGTTTTTATGTATGTTGGAAGCTGCTCAGAGTGGCTGGGGCAACCCAGTAAGAAGTGTGGTGTATAAATAGTAAAATTATAATTATGGAATGGGACGTCCCTATTTTCATCAGAGAAATGTTGGAGGATATGGACTAAGGTGGGGGAATCATAGAACTGTAGAGTAGGAAGGGACCCTGGGGGTCATCTAGTCCAACCCCCTGTAATGCAGGAATCTTTTGCCCAACGTGAGGCTTGAACCCACCACCCTGAGATCAAAAGAGTCTCATGCTGTAATGCTACCTGGATTGGCTGTAAATTAAAAGGCAGGCAGGCAGGCAGGTTGCTTGGGGCTGGCTGAGGGCAGACTGAAGTTGGTGGGACAGGTACCCCATTCACTCTAATGGAGCGGCCTCCATTATACTGCTCTGTATTATAAATAGGATTTCTCTTATTTCTGAAGGAGCGTTAAGGCTTGCTTGTGGTGATGGATTAGGCAAAGGTGGGCATTATAACTGGGCTTCACTTATGGCCTTGTTTGACTGAGGTGCTTGTGGACGAGGCAGGGATGGCAGTATAAATATAAACCATCCTAAACTCTGGCATTTTTCTTTTCTACCCTTGAGCATAGCTGTCAACTTTTTTCTTGTGAGGGATCCTCTTCGGAATAAGGGAATTTCCCTTAAAAAAGGGAAAACGTTGGCAGCTATGCCCTTGAGGCGTTGTGTTTTTAGGACCCGCCTTATTTTTACGCTTGCGAGTTGTTTCAAATGTCGCGTTTTCATGCCCTGGGACCTTAAAAGAGTGAAGGGTAATAAATAATAACGGGGGGAGGGACGCGCGCGGGAAACTTCTGAACGGTCGCGGAGCTTCGTTTGGCTCAATCGATTATGGATTTGGGAGGAGGGAGAACGTGGTTTATTATATTTTTATTTACTGTATTTTTTCAACCATATGAGGGGGGTGGGGTGCAGCAAAATAAGGTGCTATGGGAACAATGAGGAGGAGGAGAAGACCCGGGAGAGCGTCGCCTGAGGGGGAGCCAGGCCTCTTTCCCGAGCGCCTCAGCCCCTCCGCCTGAGGGAGAAGAAACAAAAGCCGGTGAGGCGGCGGCGACGACGACGACGAGGCACAGGGGGAGCGGCGGGAAGCGGAGCCCAGTCAGAGGCTCCTGGCTGCGTGACGTCACCGCCCGGGCTGGCTATAGGCTGGCCGCTGAGCTCTCCGAAGCGGCGGCGGCGGCTCTGCCCGCTTCATTCAGCGCTTTCCGCAGCCTGTGTGCACTCGGGGGGCTCCCTCGCCAGCGACGCACAGACCGGGCACAACTCCCCGCAGCGGAGGCCCAGGTAAGGGAAGGGGGCGACGTCTCTTTTTCGCCGGGGTTCGCTTCCCGGTGGACCTCCCCCCACCCCACCTCTGCCTTTCACCCCCTCAGGGTCTCCCCTCGCGAAACAGCCTGCGGGGTTGGCTTGGGGGGGGGGGCGGCTGCCGTGGGGTTGGATGGGGGGCAGCCCCAGAAGGTGCACGAGGAGGGAGGGGGGTCCGCACAAGTCCAAACTTTGCCAGCCTCTGGAACTTGGTCAGGCTATGGGGGGGGGGGGGAGGGAAAACACACGCCTACCAAGCTGCTGAGTAATTTGAGAAAATGAGGTTGCCAATGCAGTTTGTGGACTATGTATATTTTGATCTATCTATATAGATTAAAATTTTATATCTATCTATAGATACCCGTATATCTATATGTCTGCATATCACTAGACAGATATGTATCGCTATGTGATTCTCCCTGTTTTCCAAGATTTGGGAGGCAGCAGGGACCCGCTAGGATGCGGTCCTCAATTTCCAGGGCGCTCTCTTGCGTGTTTAAATCGCTCCACCGACAACCCACCCTACCTCAGTCATTGTTCTAGATGCCGCCCGCTGAAGTGTGTTTAGTTTTGGGGGATGGGGGAGACCTCTGCAGCTGGAAAGATTAATTTGAGGTAGCGGTGGTTAAGGGGGGAAATAATAGAAGATGAGAGGGGAGTATCATAATGGTTTTCTTTTAAGCCAGGGAAGACACATTTAATTTTTCCCCCTTTTTTTCATTTTGCAGGCTGGATCTTCCTTTCCTCCTTAGCGAAGGAGAAAAAAAGAGGGAGGGAGCGTGAAGGACTGTGTGAAGGCAAGGCATTTCCCCGAAACATTGCCAGCATCCCAGCTCGAGCATCTGCAGCGAGAGAGGACGAGAGAGGATCCTCGTCTTTACGAAAAGCCTCCTCAATGAGTGCCAAGCTCTCCAAGGAGTTCAGGCTCTCCCTGCCGCCCTGCCTCTTGAATAGGACATCTGGCTCTTCAAATGCCAGTACCACCTGCATCGTGCAAATGGGGCAGCTCTTCCAGTCTTTCTCTTCCACTTTTGTTTTAATTGTTCTGATCGCCCTCATCTTCTGCCTGATTCTCCTCTCCCTCATTACTTTCCATGTCCACAAGAGGAAGATGAAGAAACGGAAAATGCAAAAGGCTCAGGAGGAATACGAACGGGACCACTGCAGCAGCACCAGCGCTGAGGCAGGAGGTTCGTGTGAAATACCTCAAGGAAGAGAAACATCCAGGCTGGGAAGAACCACCCAGGATTCTAATACCCAGTGTACTTCTGCTCCAGAACCACAGAAAACACATCCTGAAAGATCATGTTTGGACACAGATACTCCAGGGCTTTTGCACACAGTGGTATTGTCTTGATTTTCTTTCCTTTTTATTTTCTGTGGGGACCTCACCAAAAGACACTGTTTGGTGTTTGTACATATTTGAGTGGTTATCATTATAATCTTGAAGAAGATGAAGAAGAAAAATTATTATTATTATTACTACTACTACTATTATTAATAAGGAAAGAAGCAACCAGAAATCAAACGCATGACAAATTTCATTGCGTTTCTCATTGACTTTTTGCAAAGGGAAGGATGCATCTTTATTTCTTTATTTTCCTTTCAGAGAAGACAAGAAAAAGCTGCACAGTGCTACCAAATATAAAGTAATCTGCCCGAAAAGAAAAGGTGCAGACAGTACAATTGTGATGTACATATATAAATGATCTAGATTATATATAACAGCATATCTCTATTTCCCTACCCTTCTTTGTTGGAGATTATCCTTAAGTGTCATGGTATTTAAAGGACTGTATCACCGGCCAAGAATGAAAAAGGGAGGGAGAGATAACGGGGGCGGGGGGGGCGACAGAAAGGGAGAGACTACTTCTAAACATGCTTTTGGACTTTTGTCTCAGTGGCACTGGCAAGGTGAGGGGACTGTTCTGTTGACCAATTTGCAGTGAAGCATGAAAGATCTGACCTTTTCGTAAGGTTTCTTGTGTCAATAACAGTTCTCCCCTCCTCCTCTTTTCCAACACCATCACTCTCTTTTAAGAGATTGGCATAAAAAAATAAAACCACCTGCCCCTGATTAAGCATAAGCAAATAAAAAATGACCCTCCATCAACTGATGCTGATCTCCTTTTTAATTTTTTTTAATTCCTCTCGCTTTCTCTCTCTCTGCAGTATTATATACCCTGTGCCCTGCAAAGCTGCGTATGCCAAACAGACTAGCTAGGCTTCTATACCTATATCTATTATCTATGGGAGGGACTGGGGTTGTTACTCCACAGGAATGTTTTGGGTTGTATCTTTCTCTGTTTCTCTCTTTAGGCATTTTCAATTGTAACAACCTTTTTCTTATTATTAAATCTGGAATAAGATACCTTTTGTGGTGACCAAAACTAAGGTGATTGCAGTAATTTATTTTTATCCTTGAATCTTTGAAAAGTTTCCACATTGCTAGTGTTGTAGGAAGTCTTATTTCAGATGACCCTCAGGGTCCCTCCTAACTCTACAGTTCTTTGAGTCTGTGTTGAGATTCCTGCATTGCAGGGGATTGGACTAGATGACCCTCAGGGTTCCCTGCATCTCTTCTGTGATTTTATGCTACATTCTAAGCAACATCCTTTACTGCGTTATTCTCAACTTACAGTTTACCCTTCCGAAAATTCAGTTTTGCATTGGTATAACATGGAGATGTTTTCTACTGTTCTTACTGAGATATAGTTTGGGCATCTTCCTATCCAGAATACTGTATGGTGACAACATACCACTTATTCCCTCACAGTTGCTCTTCTCTTGTGAATCCAGGGTGTGACAAAAATGTCATTATTAAAACATAATATTTTAGAAGGGGGTGGTGTCCTTTCCCAAAGACAAAAGACCACAAATTACTTGAGGAAAGTGTGTGGCTGTATGTTGTTAATACTGATAACAGAGGGAACTAAGTTAAACATTGTTAAGTTCCATTAATTTCAATGGGTGAGAGTAAAGTATGTGCCTTCAACTGCCATCCTACATTCATTTACTTGGTAATAAGTTCCACTGAATAAAGTAGGAGTTGCTTTCCAGTAAATTTTCATAGCACTGTGCTTTAAGACTCCTCTAGAAGTTAAACTTCAATCCTCTACCTACTTACCTGGGAATAAGGTCTTTGAATGAGACTTACTTTTGAATAGGCATGCATAGCATTGCAATGTTACTAAGGAACAAGTGTAATGGACAGAGTAAATGTGCCCAGGACTGTGATGTTATCAGGGCTTAAATGTGCTCAACTTTGCCAAAATGGTGCTCAAAGGTGTGTGGGGTTGTTGTTTTGCAATTATTATCTCATTTCTTTCAGTCAAAAGAAATAGTACTTACAGGAAACACAGTAGATTTGGTTTAAAATTACTTTAAATCATCATCAGACATTATTTGCTGCCAGCAAGTGCCATGAGTCAGTCTTGTATATAAGCCCACAAAATGTACTAGCCTGCAAAGAAACAAAATAGTAGTGTGCTGGGGGTTGGCAGATAAGATATTGCAAGCTGTGTTTCTGTGCTGGGCACGGAAGAGGTGGCTTCCATCCTGCTAGGTTTTTATGTTGGGCACAGAGGAGGAACGAAGCACACTACATTGCTCAGTGGCCTGCATGGAATTTCTGGTAATCTATGGCTACGAGGCCAGTACTTAAATACAAGGCTGCTTTAGGTGAGTTGTCTAAATTCCTAAAATCTCTTCTGTACAATGTCTGAGGGTGCAGAATCTCTTAGGTTTGTGTTAATTAATAGCAATACAATGGATAAAAATTAAATGGAAGAGGACATCAACTAGATATACATTACATCCAGAGAGCCTTTAATTTTTAATATTCTATCTTCTGTCCTCTGCACATTCTCTCCTCTTTCCCTCAGTGATGGTGGAAAGCATAATTCTCTTAAAACAAGACATGCCACTTAGATAACTTGATTAAATTAATAGACTTTAGAAGATTGGCCATGGAGTGGGGGAGCTTTAGAAGACCGGCAGTCAAACACATATTTCCAACACGTTTGTGTTGCACTGCCACTGTGGCATCAAAATGCAACAAATTTGGCTTATTGATATTTTTTCCATCTTTCCTTCTACTCTTGGCTAATTAGATGAGAAATTGCTGCTGGGCTAGAATCTATGTTTCCATTCCTTTTAGACAAGTACTCTATCAATCTAGCCAGAGGAGACTACTCCAAAAGCTCGGGATGGTTTATCATGCCAAATACACCATAGCACTGGCAATTAGGTTTAAGCAATGCAGTTATGTAAAACTGGCACCTAACTCCTTAGTTGGGCAGATATGATGATACGATTATCTTTCCTCTCTGCTCTCCCCTGTAATGTATGATGTGGAATACACTTGCAGTGTAAAGTGGTACACTGCAGGAACAGGATTTTCACCTTAGTGAGTACTAGGCCCCAGTTCCATTGAAACCAGTATAACAATCTAGCCATGAAAAATTAAGAATAACAATTCCCATTATTTTCTAGGGGACTTGGGCTTTGTTGTTACAAAGAGTAGTTCAGGTAGTAACTCTGTGCTTGGACTGCAGACTGCAAGTGGTGTCTCACATGACAGAATGCTCTTCCATGCAAACAAAAGGAAGTAAGTCCTTACATATAGAAAGCTAGATGCCAGGGAAAGTGTTCCAGCCTCACCTTTGCCCTGACATCTTGTTTTTCCTGCAATTTAATTAAACTGTAGGAGCATCCAAGCATGTGAGTCCTGATTATCATTCTGAAGTTGTACAGCCTAGACACAGGTTCACCACATCAGTGAGAGCTGGGCTTAGGACACCACTAACTTTAGCTGGACAGAAATCTGTGTGTGTGCGCATGCGCATGCAGGCAAGTCTTTTAATGTAGATAATATTAGGCATAATCCAATCAAAGATAAGGAAGATCTGTTGGTTTTATTTGGAGAGATTTAAGCATGGACTTAACTCCCATTGAAAGCAATGAGACTTACCTTTGAGAGGATTGTTGCTTCTACCACTGATTTTGTGCTTTTGGCTTTGAACAAATTATTACTATTTATGAACAAATTATTATGATTCATACTATCCAAGTAGTGTGAAGTTTACAGGTCACTCCAATGCATTTCAGAATGACAATTCTGCCTGAGTGTCTGAAATCAATCGCCGCCTTTTCTCTCATAAGCACTCAGTGCATGCAGTAATTCCCCAGAGGTGCACTGCCTTTCAAAACATATTGCAGTTATAAAATTGTACTATTAGTGGGGAAAGGTAAAAAGAGGCACCAAAGCACAGAAATAGCTCTGTATTTGCAGATGCAAATAATAATAACATCTGTTCATTTGCAAAAAAAAAAATTGTTAAACATATATATATTCCTGTCTGCACCAAAACGTAGTTTGTGGCTGAATTTTTCCGCATGGCTATATTTTGCAAGAAGTGAGATACATCCTTTAACTTAAAAAGAGTTTGCTTAGGACAAGGTTTGATTAAAACAGCAGCAATGCAGAATTTACATTTTTTTTAAAAAACACAAATTGCCAAATACTAGAAATGTAAGGTACTATAATAAATGACTGTACTAAAGGTAAATGTAAATGTTCAGCTTACAAAAATAGTTCCAAATAACTTTAAAGTACTGCCTCTTTAGGGGTTTGTATAAACCGGTTTTGGGAAAGCAGAGCAAGATGTGTAGGTTTTCTTTTAATTTCTTATGGAACAATGTGTCATCTGAAGAGTAGCTAGGATGTTTTTTCCAAAGGGACTGGAGGCACAGAGATTCTGTCAAACCAATTGCTTCAAAGCCCTACAGCTACAACTAAACTTTTCCACTTATCATTCAGTATTAATAAGCTGGATGCTTCTCTCTCGGAATCAGAAGAGCAAGGAAAATGGCTTATATTAACTGTTGGTGGGAGAGGGAGGAAATCTGTCCTATGCATGTTTACTCAGAAGTAGGTCCTGTTGTGTTTAATGGGGGGGGGGTAGTCCCAGGTAAGGCTGCAATCCTAACCCTACTTATCTGAGAGTAAGCCCCATTGCATTAATAGAACGTACATCTGAGTAGACATGGTGAGGCTTGCGCTGTAAATCTGTTTAGGATTGTGGCATATGGCTGAGATCTTTTGCACATCTGTTGTTGTTGTTTAGTCGTTTAGTCGTGTCCGACTATTCGTGACCCCATGGACCAGAGCACGCCAGGCACTCCTGTCTTCTTTGCACATCTACTTGAGAGCAAACTATTTAATTCAATAGGACTTTCATTTCAGTATACATACAGAGAAACAGGCTGTAAAGCTATGAACAGATGAGAGCAATCCTATGCAGATGTACTTGGGGGTAACTCCTAGTGTGAACTTGGTAGTATTTACTTTGGGAATGTTGTCATAGCCTGTGATACATAGACTTTTGGGGTCTTACTGTGGTCTCTTGCATTGTAAGTTTGTTTGAAGTTCTTCATGTTATACTCCAGGAAGGCCAAAGTGAGCTTCTGGAAATGTGAACACATTTTCATTTGATTCTTAATGGATAGTGACTATGATGCGTAAGATATACTCCTGTGCCAATGACTAGCATGTTTTAGAAATATTTGAAATTTCTGTTTTTTAAAGTGTGTGAAAGGGTCTACATGTTTGCCCAGAGCTCAGTCTACAGGGTGTTAGGGGTGGACTGTTCCCCTTAAATTTTGAGATAACACCCTTAACTCCTGTTTTTAGAAGGCTATAGACCGGAAGAAATGGAAGTCAAATGATAGGCCTTTTGATTTCATTATGGCTACGTCTGCATTTTCCTCCATAATTTAAATCCTGTGTTTAGTCCTTTAAAGAGAATGAGGTTGTGGGACTCAACAAAGCTTCCCTTTGGAGTGAAATTTGCTAAACCTGGATCCTCCTGCAATTGAGGGATGGGGGAGAAATTCGATTCACACTTTCTGAAACATCAGGAAGACAAAAACAGCCATCCTTCAGATTTTGTACTCATCCAAATTTTGTGATGCAGTTCTCCAACAAAGCAGTGTTTAGAAAAATACATACATTAGGGGAAATTTTGCATTAAAATAAATGTATTTGTGAAAATAACATAATTAGGGGAAATTGCTTGCTTATGAAAATGTGTTTATTCGGATGAATTTTCAGGAATTTTGTATTTTTAAGAGTCGGAACATGAGAAACTGCCCTCTGTCTAAGTCCATTTCACTATTCCATTGAGACCAATGGCAGAAGGGGAGTGGCTGCAATAAGGAAATGGACCTCTCTCCCTGCCTGCAGTGAGGCTTTTGTTCCATTTCCACCTTCCATTTATGCTTGTAGAACTGGCAAGCACATCAACTGAGGCAGCTCGCTAGCCATGTCTTTTTGTCATGCCAGCTGCCTGGCAACATCCTTATTTTTATTTTCTTTTTTGCAGT